TTTAGGGTTAGGGCTTAGGGCTTAGGGCTTAGAGTTTAGGGTTTAAGGCTTAGGATTTTAGGGTTTAGGGTTACCAAGAAGGGCCTTAAATGAATCGCACAGTATCCGTATAGGTGGACAGCCATCCTCCATTTGCCAGAGCAGTACCTTCTAGGACGCAACACCCCAAACAGCAGACTCTCGCCAAGTCCGTAGTCCTAAACCTTCAACCTCAAACAAAAAGGACACCAGCGCTGCCCCGCCAGCCCCTGTTGCGACGCCAGGCCGACCCCTGAGCCGCTCCCTTCGCCGGCGCCGTACATGAGGCTGAGGGTTCCTTGTAGTGAATGAGGGAACTAGGGACCTTCTGCCCCCTATATATACCTTTTAAGGTATTATATTGGGGTACCTCATTCCCCCCATTCCCTACTAAGATGAGGCTCAGGGTTCCAGGCAACAACCCCTAATCACCCCCGAAACGCTGAAGAACCCCTAGCTAACCCCTGAAGAAGCCCTTTCACAACCCCCCTGAAGCCCCTTATACAGCTCCTAAAACACCCTGAAAAACCCGAACCGCCTTGGTGGGCGGTCAGGTCCGGCGGCGGTGACCTGGGTGCTGGGCCTCGGCGGAAGCTCTCCCTTTCAGAGGTTCGGCCTTCGGGGGGGTGCAAGGGGATTTTGCTACGATTTGCTTAAGAACCCTTCCTCCCCCCCCCCACTCCCTCCCCCCAAAAAATTGAAAATGCAAGATGTTCTTCCTTGCAAGGGCAATGTAGGGATTTCCATCTTCTATTTTTGGGGGGGGTTCTTGGTAGCCCGGCGGTGCCCCTATTGCCATTTTTTGCTTGGTTCTAGGCTCCCTTATGAGTTAACTAACCCCTAAAAAGGGTATCGGTATAGGGTTTAGGGTTTAGCGTTTCCCTTACAATAATGGTTGCTGGGCCATCGAGGATTTGGGGTGACTGGACTTCGGGTGTTTCATACAAACATGCCCAACGCCAGGCAAATAACATTCTCATCATATGTACACATGTTGCATACGTGTATATGGGTGGCTGTCAAAATTATGGTCCCTTTTTGGATCCCTATTATTATTATTATTATTATTATTATTATTAGAATTATTATTATTATTATTATTATATGGCTCCTAATATGTAGGGTACCCCCCCAAAAGAGATCATCATTTTGACAACCACCCATATGTATGTGTATGCGTATATGTATAGGTTATGCATATGTGCACCTTCTACTGTTCTCATAGACCTACACAGTCCGGGAGGACTCCCGATAAGGGCCCACTTGAATCCCTTACGCTAAGCCCGAAACCCTAAACCCCAAACCCCAAACCACCCTAAACCCCAAACAAAAGATGCCGCGCGTCTGGTGGCCAGGTGGCGTTTCTGCCTTGGCTGTGCTGCATGGCGCCAGCCATCCTCCTCTTCTCCAACTACCTCTTCGTCGTCTTCTCGGAACCCTTGTTAGGCTTTAGGGTTTTGGGTTTAGGGTTCGGCTTAGGGTTTAGGGTTTCATTACGAACCTACAGTTTTAGGGGTTATAATCGCCTACAAAATCGGGGGGTACTTACTACCAAACCGCAGGTGAGCAGGGTTCCAGGTCGCCGTTAGGTGACCCTCGACCCCTAACCCAAACATCTTCATAGGGTTGACGCAACGCCACCAGGCCGGTGGTCTGGTCAGCCCCTAAACCCTAAGCCCTAAGCCCTACAGCCCCGAAGGCCCTACAGCCTTAAAAAATGCAGCACTTAAAACCTCCAACTCCTAAACCCGCAGCGGCAATTCCTAAACCCTGATTTCCTCTACCCTATGAAGCCTAAACCCCTAAAAGCCTCAAAGCCCTAAACCCTGAACCCGAAGGCCTAAACCTTATAAACCCTTGAATATTTAAACCCCTGAAAACTCAAAAACCCTAAGCCCTAACCCTAATATCCCTAAACCCTGAACCTACTAAACCCTAAACCCTAAACCCTAAACCCTAAACCCTAAACCCTAAACCCTAAACCCTAAACCCTAAACCCTAAACCCTAAACCCTAAACCTACGAGGTCCTGGGATCCGCGCTATGGTCTCCCTGCCTCTTCGACTGGCTCTGCGCGCTGCTGACATGCCCCTTGGGCTGCACCTCTGTTCGTGTACATCTCTGGTTTAGGCTTTAGGGTTAGGGTATAGGGTATAGGGTTTAGGGTATAGGGTTTAGGGTATAGGGTTTAGGGTTTGGGGTTTAGGGTTTGGGGTTTAGGGTTTGGGGTTTAGGGTTTGGGGTTTAGGGCCTAGTTTAGGGTTTGGGGTTTAGGGTTTGGGGTTTAGGGTTCAGGGGTTAGAGTTTCGGTTTTTAGGGTTTTCAACTTAGGGAAGTTGGGGGAATCTCGGGGACTCCAGGGGAATTTGGAGTTTCTGGGGGGGGGGGGGTTGAGGTTACTGGCCAAGAGTCTGCATACGTCTTGTTCGTGCGGGTTCAGGGTTGAAGGGTTTTAGGGTGTTGGAGTTTTAGGGTTTTGGGTGTCAGGGTTTCAGGTTTGAACGACCTCTACCCCTACACCCTAAACCCTAAAGTTTATACAGTGTTTAGGCTAACAGAGTACGCAAAAGAGAGTTTTGTGGCAACCGCCTCCTCCATGCCAACCCCAAAGAGTGAGAACCTGCGAGGCATTAAGCCCCAAGCCCCCACAACAGTTAAAAGCCCAAAGATGGCAGACCTAAAACCAAAACCCTTAACCCTAAAACCTAAACCCTAAGCCCTAAGCCCTAAACCCTAAACCCCGAACCCTAAATCCCTAAACCCTTAACCCCGGCATCACCTAGCAACTCGGTAGGCCCCTTGGGATATGTTATTTTCGCGTACTGGGTTTAAGAGGATCGTACTTTTGGAATCTTTTTCAGAGGGTTTCAAGGGCCATCCGAGGGACTTCGACGCGCCACCCCCTCAAATGCCCTCTCAACCCCTTTCTCGGCATACAATCTTGGGGGTAGGAGTCTGGAAACCCTAAATTACTAAGCTCTAAGGGACCCCCTCCCTCAACCCAGGGACCTCCTTCCCTGATTCAGGGTTAACCGCAAAGAGAAACCTGAGATGGAGAGCAGCCCTTGGTATTGCGGGGGAGCCGGGTTGGGGTCGCCAGCACTGAGCCGTAGGATTTATATAGAGTTCAGGGGTTTCAGGGTTTGCGGTTTAGGGTTTAAGGCCCTAAACCCTGAACCCTGAATCCTAAACCCTGAACCCTAAACCCTAAACCCTAAACCCTAATCCCTAAACGCCCGCCTCAAAAAGCACGTGAAGAAAGGCGTCACTTGGTTTTGGATCGCCAACATGTGCATCTCCTCGGGCCTGGGAGCATTCAAGCTGCGCGAGGCGCGCCTTAGGGTCTAGGGTTAGGGGTTTAGGGTTTAGGGTTTAGGGTTTAGGGTTTAGGGTTTAGGGTTTAGGGTTTAGGGTTTAGGGTTTAGGGTTTAGGGTTTAGGGTTTAGGTGGGGTTTGGGGTTTGGGGCTTGGGGGGCTGTTTTAAGGGCCTGAGGTGTTAGATCCCAAACCCTCAACCCCTGAATGCTTCGGGCTCCCAGGGAAACTTCCCCCAGAAGTGTCCCACATGGGGGTTTACGAAAAGAAGAATTAAGGGTTTAGGGTTTAGGGTTTAGGGTTGTACAGCCCCAATTAGTAGGATTCCCTTAGAATAAGGACCCCAAGAAGGCATTCCGAATTTCAGAAACCACCATATCCCTTAAGTTTAGGAGCATGCCTCAGTTCCATGAAGACACCTGTCCTGTTGAAGGAATCGTAGCTTAAGGGTTTAGGGGTTAGGGTCTAGGGTTTAGGGTTTAAGGCTTAGGGACTTAGGGACCGGGCTTAGTGGCCCACACCCCCAACCCTGTTCACCAACTAAACTCTGCTAGGGTTCCAGAAGCCGTTTGGTGGCCCATAGCGCATACGTTGTGATGTAGTTCCAAGCCACGAGACGCTGCGCCTGCGTGGCCCAGCACATGACAGAGCTGCTAAGGTGGGAAACGCGCGTGCTGGGCCCTATGACGCCTGCAGCCCCTACACTCCAAACTCACAAAAGCTCCTGAGGTGCTCCAACGAACTTTTTGACCTCAAGAACAAAAAAACAGGCCCGGAGTGTGAAACATCCCAAACCTTGGCTCCAAAACCCCCAAGCTCGCTCAGCCCCATAAGCCCCGTAGGCCCCAACTAAGGTTAGACAAATTTCAAGCCTTGTAGTGTAGGAGTCAAATACTTACAGATAGTATTCCCTTATGGTCCCTATACAATTATACTGTAAGAAACCCCAAAGCCCTATTCTAATGATTAGGGCCCCTATAGTAGGCGAAAGAAGCTCTGACCCCCCCCAAGCCATCCCCCAGCCGCCTTGCAGAGCACGGCGGTGGACTGGCATGCGCGGCTTAGCGATTTGCCGGAAGAGGCCGGCCTTTGGAGCTGTACCCTTGAATCACAGTAAGCCCTATATCCCCTAAACCCTAAACCCTAACCGCTCATTCCAAGGTTAAACCTTATATAAACCCTTAACCCTAAACCCTAAACCCTAAACCCCAAACCCCAAACCCCAAACCCCAAACCCCAAACCCTAATCCCTAAACCCTAAACTAGCTTATTCCAAGGTGGGTGGGCAACCTAGGTTGAGGGGCTGGGTGGCATTCTGGGAGCGTCAAAGGGTCTGGAGGTGTTGAGATTGCGGGTTTCGGGGTTCAAGGGTTTGCGGCATATAGGTTTAATTAGGCTTTGGGGGTTGGGGGGGACGTGAGTGGATTGGTGGGGCGGGGGGGGCCGGCTCCACTTCAAAGCACACCGGCCTTACCGCAGGGACTTTAACTAGGGTTCCAAAACAATGGCGAAACATGGTAAATCCTTGAATCCTACCTGTGACAAGCTGACTCCAACCCCCTTCCTTCGCCCCTCCGCTCTTGCACAAAGGAAAAGCATCGCATTGCGCAGGTACGCGCCGGTGTCAAGCACATCGTGCTGCTGCCGAACTACCTGGAGAATGAGAGGATGCTGAAGGACGAAAGTGCCCCCTAAACCATACAGCCAACCTTAAACCCCCTAAGCCCTAAACCCTAAGCTCTAGCCCCTAAAGCCATAAATCCCCTAAACCCTAAAAACACAAACCATTGAACCCTAAACCGTTGCAACCCTAAGCCCTAAACGAGATGGCGGCCACAATGGTGGCTTGGAATTTGAGCCCCCGAAACCCACTACCCCTAATTTAAGGTGTATGCCTTCCCGGGCTTATAAGTTTCAGGTTCTAGAAGATAACTCTTTTAATTCATATGAAGATCCCGACAATGAATTAAGGTCTCCTAGGTAGGATAGGGGGGACCCTTAAAAGGGAACCCCTTCTGAACCCTCTTCTGGCTCTCTTAAGCAGGGACCTTATGAAGGAGGGTCTATATCCCCAAGGGTCCCCCTAATCCTATCCCCTAAGGTCCTTAAGGTAGCTTCCGGTGTTGGCATGTCTCCTTCGATCACTTCATGATGCGATCTTTTTGCAATCCATCCTGCGTTGGAGAGAACGCAACGAGCCTACTCCTCCAGGTGACCGTATGCCCTAAACCCTAAACCCTAAACCCTAAACCCGAAACTCTAAACCCTAAACCCTGACCCTAAACCCCCTAAACCCTAAACCCTAAACCCTAAACCCTAAACCCTAAACCCTAAACCCTAAACCCTAAACCCTAAACCCTAAACCCTAAACCCTAAACCCTAAACCCTAAACCCTAAACAATTACTTTGCGAGCCAACATACTTAGCAGTACTTAGTACTTGTAGCATCCTGGGCCAGGGCTGAGGGCTCTGGAGTTCAGGGTTTCTGCACCCTCCAAGCCTACAGCTAGGAAGCCTTAACGCATCAAGAGTTTAGAGCTTAGGGCCTAATTTAAAGCCAAGATTCGGTTAAACGAAGCCCATAATAAGTACTATTTTGGCCTGATTTTGTGTAGATGAAAGCAGCACTTAAGCCTTAAACCCTAACCCCTGCACTCTATAAGGGTTTCACGGTTGCACTCCCCTTGTGCTGTTTTGTCCTCGCGCTGCCCTCAGAAGTGGGGAAAGTTGACAGGTTTTATTATTGTTGAAGACATGTGTAGAGTACAGGGAGGGTTTGGGGTTGTAGGGTTTGGGGTTTAGGGTTTGGGGTTTATGCTCAGGAGACCCTTGACAACCTAGCCCGCTCACACATGGCGCAGAGCTGCGTCCACGTCGTGTTGGCTATGGAGGCCCGAGGGGTTAGGGCTTGGGGTTTGGGTTTAGGGTGTAGGGTTAAGGGTTTAGGGTTTAGTGTTTAGGGCTAGGGTTCCGGAGCTTCGGGTTTGGGTTCGCTCCATGACCGAAGCTTGATTCTCCCCAACTTTCCCCTTCATCAGGGAGCTTAGGGTTTGGGGTTTAGGGTTTAGGGTTTGGGGCTTAGGGTTTAGGGTTTAAGGGTGGGCTAGAGTTTGGGTAGTACCCCTTGAACCCTAAACCTTAAAAGCCCTAAACCTCTTCATTAGCCCTGGATAGCTGGGAACCTTTACTGAAGCGAGGGGCTAAGATGGTAGGGGCGGTTAACATCCCTACGCCTCCTCGCGCGCACGAGAGGCATGAGGGCCATCTCCTCCTCCGAAACCCGCAGTTCGGGGTTTAGGGTTTAGGGTTTAGGGTTTAGGGTTTAGGGTTTAGGGTTTAGGGTTTAGGGTTTAGGGTTTAGGGTTTAGGGTTTAGGGTTTAGGGTTTACGGTCTGAGGTTTAACCCTAACCTTCCCCAGTAGAACCCTAGACAAGTAAACCCTTAAGCCCCTCAAGCCCGTTGAGGTCCCCAAAATCCTAAACCCTACAGGCCTGAAAGCCCGAAAGTCTAACTCCCTAAAACCCTAAAACCCTAAAACCCTAAAACCCTAAAACCCTAAAACCCTAAAACCCTAAAACCCTAAAACCCTAAAACCCTAAAACCCTAAAACACTAAAACCCTAAAACCCTAAAACCCTAAAACCCTAAAACCCTAAAACCCTAAAACCCTAAAACCCTAAAACCCTAAAACCCTAAAACCCTAAAACCCTAAAACCCTAAAAACCCTCAACCCTAAACCCCAAACCCCAAACCCCAACACCCTGAACCCTTCCCAGGCGCGAGAAGGCCCAGAGGGCCAGGAGAAAGCGGCGCGCATTGTCGAAGAGAAGGTGCGCTCATGGGAGGTCGCGGTGCAGGGTTCACTTTTAGGGGTTCAGGGTTTGGTTTAGGGTTTAGGGTTCAGGGTTCATTTTGGGGGGTTTAGGGTGCACATAGGGTTTACATGGGGTTTATGTGAGGTTAAAATGAGGTTAATGCAGGGTCTAGGGGTTTAGGGTTTACCAAAGACCCCTAAAACCCTAATCAACCAAATATGAACCCTGAGCGCCAATTGGGGGCCCATCGGGGGCATCGGACGGCGTTGAGGGGTAGTATAGGCCTGGGGGTTAGGGTTTAGGGGTTCAGGGTTCGGGGCCTAAACAGCTAGAACATGGTTTTGAGGGGTTATTGTAGTATAGATATAAGGCTCTCTGGTTCTTTATTGTAACTTTAGATCCTCAGCCTTTTTGGGTTTTTTGGGTTTCTTAATAATTTAATAAGGCAGCTAAAAATTAAATTTCTAGCTACCCTGCTAAGTGCAGCCAAGTTTGAGGGTGCCTTAAGGGAATACTATTCGCAATTCTTGCGACCCCTATGGATCCAACAGCTGTGACGTCCACCAACCTAACCCCCACAGTAAACTCTAAACCCTAAACCCTAAACCCTAAACCCTAAACCCTTAACCCTAAACCCTAAACCCTAAAGTTCTTAAGGGAGGGGGGTTCATGGGGGGTAGGTACCTGGGGAACCTGAGGGAAACTTAGCCTTAGGGAGTAATAGGGAGTATTGGGGAACCCTTGGATTTCATACCCCCCCCTACACCCTACACCCTACACCCTAAACCCTAAACCCTAAACCCTAAACCCTAAACCCTACACCTTAAACCCTAAACCCTCAACCCTCAACCCTAAACCCTGAACCCTGAACCCTGAACCCTGAACCCTGAACCCTAAACCCTAAACCCTAAACCCTGAACCCTGAACCCTAAACCCTAAACCCTAAACCCTAAACCGTATCCCTAAACCCCAGGAACCCTCCTCCCTTGAGAACCGTATAGAAGTCGCTGCAGAAACATCTCTTCGCCGACATCTTCGCGACCTTCCATCCCAAGGCACATGGGGGCGCAATAGGGCTTAGGGTTTAGGGCTTAGGGTTTAGGGTGCGGCCCTTTCCTATCATGGGGGGGGGGGGGGGTGTACCCACAACATGTGCCCAAAATACTCCAGCCCTTTTTTTAGGAGCACATAAATCAGGGTACCCTACTTTGCGGAAACCCCAGTATGGCTATGGGGCTTCGGGCGGCGGATCATTTCTTTAGTTTAGTGTTTAGGGTTTAGGCGTCGTGGTGCGCTTACGATAGGATTAGGGGGACCGTTGGGGATATAAACCCTCTGAATAAGGTCCCTGTTTAAGAGAGCCAGAAGAGGGTAAGGAAGGGTTCCCGTTTAAGGGTCCCCCTTATCCTCAGATATATTGAGCCTCCTTAAACGCACCCCCGGACTTTTAAATATGATTTTTGACAAGGGGTTAAACCCTAAACCCTCAATGGGATAGCAAAAAGAAGCAACAACAAAGAAGGGATTACGTTCTCTCGGCCCTTCAGAGCCACGAGGCCAAAGCCTTTGAAATCCAAGGCCAAGGAGTTGGGAACCTGGCGTGTGAACAGGGCAGACATTGCAATGAGCATCAAGAGAAACAATTCCTAAACCAAACCCAAACCCAAATCCAAACCCTGAACCCTAAACCCGGAACCCTAAACCCTAAACCCTATAAACCCTATAAACCCTATAAACCCTATAAACCCTATAAACCCTATAAACCCTATAAACCCTATAAACCCTATAAACCCTATAAACCCTATAAACCCTATAAACCCTATAAACCTATAAACCCTATAAACCCTATAAACCCTATAAACCCTATAAACCCTATAAACCCTAAACCCTAAACCCTAAACCCTAAACCCTAAACCCTAAACCCTAAACCCTAGGCAGCCTGCCGGGGCCACGACATGGGAGGATGCGTGCATGCCTCTTTTTCGCTCCTTGCAACATGTTGTGGTGGAAAATCAATGCACGCGTGCCAAAAAAAGGGCTGGCGCTTTTTGCTGGCTTAAAAAATCGCAACGTCCTCGAACACAAAGTGTTGTCGTTTATTGTGTGTATCGTGGTTTCCGGGCTGATGCGGTGATTCCTTTCGGAACTTGAAGCCCAACACATGCTGAAATTTAGGTCTTGGTGCATTTCGGCATTTCGGCACATGAAAGGGACGTGCTGCAAAGGACGATACTCTGCTGCGCGACGCCATCATTCGAACGCATGCTTGACGGCGAGGCTCAAGAATGCGCATCGATGGTTGCGACGGGCCACCGAGTTACGCGGCCAGCAAAGCATGCTTGCCTTGGCAGCTGCCGGCGGGGCTGCCAAGTTTAGGGAGGCCATGCCCCCCCCCCCCTGCTGCCACGCCCGCAAATGCCCTGCCACAAACCATCCACATGCAGCGAACCCACCATCTGCTCGCCGCTCGCAATGTCCACCCCCCTGCATCGCCGCATTACGGCGCCGGGAATTTGATGGGCACAAAGTAGGAATCAAGCCCTATTCCGAGCCTGGCACACCCTACATGACAATGAGATACAATGAGCGACTTGGTGCCGTGATTTGCGGCGTGAGGTGAGAGACAGAGAGAGAGAGAGAGTGCGAGACAGAGAGAGAGAGAGAGAGAGAGAGAGACAGAGAGAGAGAGAAAGAGAGAGAGAGAGAGAAAGAGAGAGAGAGAGAGAAAGAGAGAGAGAAAGAGAGGGAGAGAGGGAGAGAGGGAGAGAGGGAGAGAGGGAGAGAGGGAGAGAGGGAGAGAGGGGAGAGAGAGGGGAGAGAGAGGGGAGAGCGAGGGGAGAGCGAGGGGAGAGCGAGGGGAGAGCGAGGGGAGAGAGAGGGAGAGAGAGGGAGAGAGAGGGAGAGAGGGGAGAGAGGGGTTTCATGTAGCCCCGATACCTCGAAACTCTAGATCCTTAGGTCCTGACCGAGTCCCTTCAAATCCTTACATCCAAGCTCCTAACTGGGATCCCTTTTGCAGGGGCTGCCGGGCGAAATTGCCGGCAAGTCCTCGAACACTCAGTTCGCCTTCCGGCAGGCACCTGGCCTTCATGTATCAAACGCAAGCCATGAATTCGGGGGTCAGAGTAGTTTTGGGGGAGGGAGTTCAGGTTTCTAGGTATTTCAGGAGGAGTCCCAAACCCTAGCCCTAAACCCTGAACCCTGAACCCTAAACCCTAGACCCTGAACTATACAAATCCTAAATAAGGATTTCTGGGGTCCTCTCTTGAGGTATCCAGAGGATCTTCGGAGACCCCAAAACGATCCCTGGATGTTGGATTATGTGCCCTATGTTACTTATATCCCTTCTGAAGGTATATGCCCCTGAGCCCTAATCCTAAACTCAGGTTTAGGGTTTAGGGTCTAGGTTTCAGGTTTTAAGGTTTTAGGTTTTAGGTTTTGGCTTTTAGGGTTTAGGGTTAGGGTGTTTCGGGTTTAGGGTTACCCGAAACCCCGGTGGACCGTAGGAAGCCTTTAGGGTTCGTTTGGTCCCAAAGCGACATTTGGGGGGCTTGCGAGAAGTTGGGGCTCGCATATTCTGGTGATTCTTATGATATGGGTTATGTTAGATTGGGGTATATAAGGGCACCCCTATTTGGAGAGGTAAGTATTTAGGTTTCTTACCTCAGCTTGTGGTAAACCCTAAACCCTAAACCCTAAACCCCAAAACCCCAGGTTTTGAAGGGAGCCCCGAGGTCTCGATGCATTAGGGCTTACGTGGTGAGTCTTGAGACGGGCTTGTTTCGCGCCTCGACCCGAATGCCTAAACCCGATAGCTTAGGGTGTAGGGCCAAGCGGAAGCCCTTAAACTATAGAATCTTCTGAGTCTAAAATTCTGTAAACCCCTGTAAGCGCCCGACGTCAGAAGGGCTGCCGCAGCGAGTGAGTGCGTTCAGGGCCACTGATATCTAGGACCAGACAGTCTGAATTCTTTCCGGAGGAGGAAATCAGGGGCAGTCGGGCCTTGCTGCGAGTTTAGGGTTTAGGGTTTAGGGTTGAGGGTTGAGGGTTTGGGGTTTAGGGTTTAGGGTTTAGGGTGGCGCTGACAGTGTCGCAGGCAGCACCGCTGTTGTCGCGATTTGGCAGCTTAGGGCTTGGGGTTCACGGTTTGGGGGATTCGGGGATTACATTCCAGGAAAACAAGCATCTGCTCTAAACCCCAAACCCAAAATCCTGTAGGAGTTCATGTGGGGGCTTACGAAAATATGGGCTCCTGGGCTCCAAACCCCTGGCGCCCCCTTCACCACACGAAACGCAACGCCCCCCCTGAACCTGGGTCCTAAACCACATGGCAAAGCCCTAAACCCCTAATCCACACCAAACATCTCCAAGCGCTCAGAACAAAACAACATACTCCGAGCCAGAAACCTCCGACATGAAACCCTACAAACTAAACCCTGAGCCCGAAGCCCGAAGCCGCAAGGCGCTCCGGAAATATGGGGCCGCCTTGTGCCAGAACGACTTGCCTCGAACTCAGGGGCGTGCCTTCCTACAGCTTTCAGCTTTTAGGGTCTAGGGGCTTCGCTTTTGGGGTGAAGGGTCTTGGAGGTTCAGTGTGCAGGGACTTCTGTATACTTCTAGCTTCAGGGGCCGGGGGGCGATTGTCGGGAGGAGAGAAAGCTCGCATCATTAGGATGCGCAGCAGTGCCCCTGTTGCTTTTATTAGGGTGGGGATCCCTATCAACTCCTTGAAAAACACAAAAAGGGTCAAACCACAAGCCCCTAAACCCTGAACCTTAGGTCCTAGATCTTCCTGGGGAACCGAGATCACCAGACGCCCCGAATTCGCTTGCTCCTTTGATACTGTATCTTAGTAGTAGAGTAGGTATATAACCCCTTAACCTTTTTGGGTTCTTAAATTCCCTTTATAACCCCAAAGGTTAACCTTTATTTCCTGTAGGATACTGGACAACTGAGGTATCACACCGAGCGGAGACCCCATGCCCGATCGGGTTGGTGGTGTAGCGACTTCTAAACCCAAAAAGCCTACACCCTACACCCCACACCCTAAGCCCTAAACCCTAAACCCTAAACCCTAAACCCTAAACCCTAAACCCTACACCCTAAACCCTAAACCCTAAACCCCTAAACCCTAAACCCTAAACCCAAAACCCTAAACCCCTAAGCCCTAAATCACCCAGGCTGCATCCCCCCCCCCCCCCCCCCCCCCCCCCAGGCCCTTAGAAAAGAAGCAACGTGCTGAAGTCTTCGGCGGGTCGTTACAAGGCGACCCGGTAGGGTTTAGGGTTTAGGGTTTAGGGTTTGGGGTTTAGGGTTTAGGGTTTAGGGTTCAGGGTTCAGGGTTCACGGTCGTTACATGGTCCCTGAGTATAGGCCCTTAACAGAGGACCCTGTATATGCAACTTACATACCCTATTCAACCCAAGGGCCCACATCGGAGCCCTTTCAAGAGGGTAAGGGACCACATGAAAAGCCCATGAAACTCAACCCTTAAACCCTAAACCCCGAACCCCAACCCCTAAACCCTAACCCTAAACCCGAAACCCTAAACCTAAACCCCAAACCCTGAACCCTAAACCCTAAACCCTTTCGAAACTACCCTGTGATGAAGAGCCGAGGTCCAAGATATTCTTGACCGTCGCCGACGCGGACACTCTGTGGCGACCTCAATGCTTAGGGCATTTCCCAAAATAGGGGTACCCTTAATATACCCCCCCCCAAAAAGGGTACCCCCGTTTTCGGAATCCCTTTATAATAGGTGGGTTAAGGGGTATAGGGTTTAGGAAGTCTAGGGTTTAGAGACATAGGGTGGAGGGTTTAGGGTTCGGGGCTTAGGGTTTAGGGACATAGGGTGTAGGATTTGGGATATAGGGTTCTGGCCTCAGAGATATAATGTTTAGGGTTAGGGATCTTGGGTTGCGGGGGAATGTGTGCCGAGGTGCGATTCCTGCGCTACTCCCAAAGCTTCTGCCAGACGCCTAAACCTGAAGTGAAATCCACACCCTGAACCCTTCAACCCCCATTCAACCCTCAACCCAAGCCCCTAAAGCCCAAACCCTGAACCCAACATTTTACCCCGAGCCTGTCTTACCACCCTAAACCTTAAACCCTAAATCCTGAACCCCAAAACCTAAACCCTGAACCCTGAACCCTAGACCCTAAACCGAACACCCAACCCAAAGCGCGTCCTGACTTCCCCTCAAAGCCCTGAATCAATAACTCCTGAAACTCTGAAACCCTAAAGGTTTAGAGTTTTAGGGTTTAAGGTGTATGTAGTGTTGGCTTAGGGAAGAAGCCCCGAGACCTTCAACGCTGAAACCCTAAGCTAAGATCTGTTTTTGACTCTCAGTCTCAAACCCCCAGCTCCGGGTCTGTGACATAAGGGCCTTGCTGATATTGGTGGTTGTAAAAGCAATCTAGTAATGAGTAGGGTTCAGGGATTAGGGTTTACGGTTTAGGGTTTAGGGTTAGGACTTGAGTGGGGAGGGGGGTCCAACATCCGGTGGAGGGGGCGGAGGTTAGTATAGCGCATTTTAGAGGGACCCTAAGGGGATACGAGTCATTCCGACCCCTCTGTCAAAGCCTCCTCAAGCGCGAGATTCCCAGGCTTCACCCGCAGTACCTCAGCGCCCTCGCCTACCAAGGCACCTGGTTTTTGCTTAGCCCCTAAATAAACCCTGAACCCTGAACCCTAAACCCTAAACCCTAAACCCTAAACCCTAAACCCTAAACTGTGTCCCTGGGCCACCCTGATCCCTGGACCCGGAACAGCTTTGGGGAATGGATTAGGGTTTAGGGTTTAGGGTTTGTACCGTGAATGTGATCATGTTTCGGGCATTGACGCTCTGGGGAATCTGCCACGGACCTTGTCATGGTTCGGGCATGGGTGCTCTGGGGAAAGAATGTGCTGGTGCCATGATTGCTATCATGCGCTAAGCCTTATACGACTACCCGGGCCTGATCTTTTTGTGAGTGATTTTGGGCTTTTACTGTTTGTTCTCGCTGTTCATGCTTTCGTTTATTTCACTCACTCCATTCTAAGCGCACTAATTTTCGTAGTATTCGTATTATTATTATTATTATTAGTAGTAGTAGTAGTAGTAGCAGCAGTAGTAGTAGTAGTAGTAGTAGTAGTAGTAGTATTATTATTGTTGTTACTACTATGTTTATTTTATGGGATGGTTTCCTATATTCAAAATATTAACTACTAGTTACTAGCAGGAACATCCTTGTTCCTATTCAACCAAGTCTTTGGGACAGTATCTTCTGCATTTATCTTCATGGGTCCATTACAGATCAGCCGGTATATCCAGCAATGCAAGCCGCATTAGAGGACTCATTGAAAGCCCCAACAAAGAGCTTCTTTTAATGGAGGCTTTTATGGGTCTTTAAACGCACCAGGAAAGACTGGGCGAATCTAGCCGCCATATACCTTCGCGCCTCTAGTATAATTATTGTATCACGTGAATCATGAACCAAACTCGACACGCCTCCCCTTCCCTGGTGTTTTTTAAGCGCTCTGTGAGCTCCTTCAAGCATGAGCAAGCATGTTTCAGCCGCCATTTCTTTATTGCTCACTTTGTTCAATAGGACTTCTGGGGCGCTTACGGTCAGCTTGGAAACAGATGAACGGAGTGAACCCCAAGCCTTATTGACGAACCAGGGCTGGAACTTCCTCTTTGCCCCTACTATTCGATTACGGTTGTAGTTTAATGAATCAGCTCGCGCCTTTAAACAACTTATTATTATGGGGAAAAGGCCCTAGACTTGGAGATAGTGCCCTGCACAAGCCCCTAAGCCCTATCCCTTTCCGAGAAGGCCCTACTTGCGTGATGTGTGCCGCAGCCATGACCAGGTTTCTCGAACTCTTTTTGGCTTTGTCACCCGCACAGCGGGAGGCAGAGCTCTGTGGTCTCACCCTGCGCCAGGTGGCCGCCAGCTCAGCTCACCTGCAACCCCTCCCGAACCCTTCTCCCTGTCTACTCAGGTGGAGCCAGACCAGGCGTTAACCGGGTCTCAAGGTGTGATGGGTGTTGCGGTTGGATCTCTAAGCCGGTTAGTCACTCAAGACATTAAGACTCATCCCGAGATCAACCACTAATAGGAGCTAGAGATAGAGGGTTGGGTGTACGTGAACTCACTACAGTACATTCATTCACTCGCCCCCCATAATAGTATAATACAAAGGTAAGTTGACGCACGCTTATAATCATAATGGGGGTTCTTTCACTTTTTATAAAGCCAGTATTAAAATCATTACGGCGCACGTGAACGTGGATACCCCATAGGTCTGACGACTCCTGCCCTTATGTGTTCTTTTGGCTGACCATGCCACTTCTGGGATTCACTCCTACCAGGTCAAATTAAGGGTTGAGTGTTGAGGCAGGGCGCTCGCAGTCTTCAGGTCAGGTCTCAAAAAAAGTGTTGAGGGTTCAGGGTTTCAGGGCTAGGGTTGAGGGTAAGTTTATACCTCAAGGAAGCTTTTGTAAGCCTGATACGTGTGGAATGTGTGGCTTGAAATGCGCAAGGCGTCCAAGATTTTGCTCAACCGATTGCCTGTGCCAGCTGGATTGCATTTTTACTTCATTCTCTGGCCATGGAGCCGCTTCGGGTGCACATCTATCAGGGAAGCCGTCTTAAAAACTCCTCTGAGTGGCCCTCTGACGTTCGCCATCATCTAAGCTCGCGTGCGAATGCTATGAGTCCTGATGGAACTCGTTACATTGTCCGGAGCTTGTTGCTTCTTTGCGAGAGGGAGAGGCAGCCGTCGGAGGAAGATTTTTTGCTTTCTCGGCTAGCAGGAGCAGGTGCAGCACAAGCGTTGCGTCTCAATTGGCTGGCCCTGCCAGATGCCTTTCAAACAGAATCTTTGATTGATTGCCTTAAGCGCATGCTGTACTTTATTGACTGTTCGACTTGGTTTGCCCAATCGGGTCCTGCCTCCTTGTGAGAGGCAGAAGCGCCAATCCTCCAGTGGCCGTAGCGACTGTCACATTGTTAGGCCCTGAGTGGCCAAAAATGCTGGGTCATGAAGTCCCTGCCAGCAGCCTCGCGAGGCGACTGCTTTTTCGGCGGTGGGCCTGCTGCTGGCCAGGGTTTGGGTTTTTCGAGAGAGAGAGAGAGGCACAGAGAGAGAGAGGGACAGAGAGAGAGAGAGAGAGAGAGAGAGAGAGAGAGAGAGAGAGAGAGAAAGAAAGAAAGAAAGAAAGAAGGGAGAAAGAGAGAAAGAAGAGAGAAACGAAGAGAGAAAGAAGAGAGAAACGAAGAGAGAAAGAAGAGAGAAACGAAGAGAGAAAAAAGAGAGTAGACAGAGAGAAGAAAGAGAGAAGACAGAGAGAAGAAAGAGAGAAAGAGAGAAAGAGAGAAAGAGAGAAAGAGAGAAAGAGGGAAAGAGAGAAAGAGAGAAAGAGAGAAAGAGAGAAAGAGAGAAAGAGGGAAAGAGAGAAAGAGAGAAAGAGAGAAAGAGAGAAAGAGAGAAAGAGAGAAAGAGAGAAAGAGAGAAAGAGAGAAAGAGAGAAAGAGAGAAAGAGAGAAAGAGAGAAAGAGAGAAAGAGAGAAAGAGAGAAAGAGAGAAAGCGAGAAAGAGAGAAAGAGAGAAAGAGAGAAAGAGAGAAAGAGAGAAAGAGAGAAAGAGAGAAAGAGAGAAAGAGAGAAAGAGAGAAAGAGAGAAAGAGAGAAAGAGAGAAAGAGAGAAAGAGAGAAAGAGAGAAACAGAGAAACAGAGAAACAGAGAAACAGAGAAACAGAGAAACAGAGAAACAGAGAAACAGAGAAAGAGAGAAAGAGAGAAAGAAAGAGAGAAATAGAGAAACAGAGAAAGAGAGAAAGGGAGAGAGAGAGAGAGAGAGAGATGTGTGTGCCAACTATGTAATCATATGTATATACGTATGTTTTAGTATATATATATTTACACATATATATATGGTCACCCCCCCATGATCCATATGTATCCTTTTCTTGCTTGTCCTTCTGCACCTGTGCTTACTTACACATATTGTTGAAGTGAAAAACACCGGTATTTACGATACTTTCCTGTCTTGCCATGTCTGAAGCTACAACTTGCTATTGATTATCTACACTGTTAAACAACAGAACTCTACAAACAGAATCCGTTTCTGGATTTGGTTTTGTGTGGTTTGCTAATCTCTGTTATTCACTCTATAATGGCTTTCAATATACACCTTTCTGAAATTCAACAATATTCATTGATTACATGAAATTACATAAAAAACTATAAACCATTGTATAATGCATAAACATAAAAGAAGTGATGAAGGGATTTCAAATAAAGCACCTAACACAAGAAGCAGACTACATAATGAAGTTAGAGACGAATTCGCAAAGACAGAGACATTCTTAACGGACACGCAAGGACTTAAATTAGCGTATGACAATCCTGACGGGATATATCAAAAATGGCTCTATTTTATACATTGCTGGGACTAAAAGCGGTAGAGATGTTTATGATGATTGAAAACTTCTTTTATACAAGACGCAACAGACTCAGCGCTATAAAGATGTAGGTCAGTTCATATAAGATGGTTTTATTGAAATAGACGGTTAAAGAAAAGAAAAAACTGGAATTCCTGGTAGTATAAGTCATAGTTTAGGTTCAGCATCGGGGCAACAAATAAACAATGATTATGGTAATGTATTCAGAAGTTGTAGTTCTGGTTCTCCTTTTGTAACAGGACCGCGACCAGAAGACACTGGGACAAATTTAAGAATGCGGAAAGCAGGAGACCCTGTTGGTATGTTTGATTATAAGGAAGTATAGCATCAAAGAAATCAACATTAGACCCTCTACAAAATCATCCTTCTGAAGATATAGGCAATGTTAAAAGTTAAAAACAAAGCAGGACATCTGCCTATAACCGAAGAATAGTTTTGAACAACAGTTTGATGCAATAATCGACATAATATTCATAGCGTTTCATAAGAAAGCAACAACATACGAACAAATAGAGAAATCGAGGATAGAGAAGCAATTTAAACAAAATGCTTACGAAGAGATAAGAAAGTTAGTTGAGAATAATGATGTAGATAAAGCAGTTAAGCAGGTGAAAGGTAGGAAGAAGAACAATAGTAAAGACAGTTCATATAGTTTTGAATTACTTGATTGAATACAAGTTGAAGGTATGTATATGCAATTAAATTAGCTATGGTATCTATTTGGAATGGAAACTTTTAGTCCCGAAGATATCCTCATTGATAGTTTAGGTTTAAATTACACAAAGGTAGTGCTTATGTTCATTGTCAAGGGTTTAAGAACAAAACGGCTGTTGGATTTAAGCCATTGCGTGGCCTCTTCTCACAAGTTACATATTTGCCGTTAACATATATGGGAAACTTAACAATTGAATTAGAATTAGTAACTAATGCTACTAATTGTATCAATTCCCGCAGTCAGAATTTCAAGAGATATAGGGAAAACTCGAGCCGGCTCGAATTTTCCGAAAATTCTCGAGGCACCAGGTCACCAAAACTCGAGCAGGCTCGAATTTTCCAACAACACCTACATTCTGTCATCTATGAGGCCTTGGGGTCACACAGCCATGGTTTCAGCATTTTTTAGAAAATTCGAGCCGGCTCGAATTTTCCGAAAATTCTTGAAGCTCCAGGTCTCGAAAACTCGAGCAGGCTCGAATTTTTCAAAAAAAAACCTAAATTATGTCATCTATGAGGCCTTGGGGTCGCACTGCCATGGTTTCAGCATTTGTTTAGAAAATTCGAGCCGGCTCGAATTTTCCGAAAATTCTTGAAGCGCCACGTCTCGAAAACTCGAGCAGGCTCGAATTTTCCAAAAAAACCTAACTTTCAGGATCTATCGGGCTGCTGGAGCCATAGATCCTGAAATTTAGGTTTCTTTTTGGAAAATTCGAGCCTGCTCTTGTTTGGGCGACCTACTGTGTCAGTTTTTTTTGGAAATTTCGAGCTGGCTCGATTTTTCCTAAAATTCTTGAAGCACCCTCGAAAACTCGAGCAGGCTCGAATTTTCCACAAAACACCGAACTTTCAGGATCTACCGGGCTGCTGGAGCCATGGATCCTGAAATTTAGGTTTTTTTGGAAAATTCGAGCCTGCTCGTGTTTGGGCGACCTACTGTGTCAGTTTTTTGGAAAATTCGAGCTGGCTCGAACTTTCCTAAAATTCTTGAAGCACCACGTCTCGAAAACTCGAGCAGGCTCGAATTTGCCAAAAAACACCGAACTTTCAGGATCTACCGGGCTGCTGGAGCCACAGATCCTGAAATTTAGGTTTTTTTTTGGAAAATTCGAGCCTGCTCGTGTTTGGGCGACCTACTGTGTCAGTTTTTTTTGGAAAATTCGAGCCGGCTCGAATTTTCCGAAAATTCTTGAAGCACCACGTCTCGAAAACTCGAGCAGGCTCGAATTTTCCAAAAAAGCCTAACTTTCAGGATCTACCGGGCTGTTCATAGATCCTGAAATTTAGGTTTTTTTGGAAAATTCGAGCCTGCTCGTGTTTGGGCGACCTACTGTGTCAGTTTTTTTTGAAAATTCGAGCCGGCTCGAGTTTTCTAAAAAACATGATTTTTTCGGGTATTTTTCTACCTTGTTGATGTAAATGACCTGCCTGACTTGAAATGATATAGGTTTTTATCGGCCCTTTCTTTGTTTTTATCGCTAGCTCATGGCCCCCTCTCCTCCCAAGATCCATCTGTTTCGAAGCAGAAACGTGGATCATGGGGGGGGGGCGTGAGCATATATATATATATACATATAGTGAGCCCAAATATAATTGTACTTACGAGAGGATTGCAGGTGCTGCGTCGTGAGCGGCTGGTCAAGGCTAGCACTATGTAGAATAATGTGACAGATGTTTAGGTTTTTGTTTTCTGGATGTGGTTTCGTTTCCCCTCTTGAGGGGGGCACATCGTTCGCTTTCCTTCACGCACGTTCATTATGATATTTCTTCAGGGGCCCTTGGTTTTTATTCATCTAAGTGATTTTCTAAATATGGTACTTCTTATCTTGGCTTCAATGAATAATAGTTTTAGCCCGGTAGCGAGTGAAAGAAAAATAGTGAGTGATCTACAAGGGTCTTACAATTTAGTACTTATAATGAGGCCCTTTTGCGAAGGAAAAATAGTGAGTGATCTAAAAGGGTCTTACAATTTAGTACTTATAATGAGGTCCTTCTGCGAAGGAAAAAAACAAGGAAACTCATGGATGTTATCATGGTTCGGGCATGGGTGGTGGGAGTGGATGCTTGTTGGACGAGCGTTGCATTAGGGTGAAAGCTCCCTCCCCAGACAACCCTAAAACACCCTCAACCCTCATAAACAACCCTATACGCTATAAACGAGAGTCAACTCATGGAAGGTCTCACTATCCCTAAACCCTAAACCCTAAACCCTAAACCCTAAACCCTAAACCCTAAACCCTAAACCCTAAACCCTAAACCCTAAACCTTCTCTACCTATGTATATTTAAACTTTAATGGGGCTGTGCTCCCGGTTTGGTCGTTTAGGATTTAGGATTTAGGATTTAGGATTTAGGGTTTGGGGTTCAGGGTTTAGGTTTAGGGTTTAGGGTTTAGGGTTTAGGGTTTAGGGTTTAGGATTTAGGATTTAGGATTTAGGATTCAGGGTTTAGGGTTTAGGATGTTAGGATTTAGGATTTAGGGTTTAGGGTTTAGTGTTTAGGGTTCAGGTTTAGGGACAGGTTGTCCTGGGGTGTCCCGGGGCGTCCCAGGGCCCCCCCGGGACAAATGTCCCGGGACCCCCCCGGACCCCCCCTGGAGCCCCCGGACAGGTGACCAGCAAATCCTGGGTTCCACCCTTTCTGGGGGGCTTTTTGAAGGCTTTTGAGGCTTTTTTTTGAAAGCTATCTGGGGCTGTGGTGGTGCTTTGGTGTAAAAGGGAGTGGTCCCGAAACCGTCGATTTCAGTACCAAAAAACAGCATTTTTCATTGTGGGAGCAGGCAAATTTGTGTTCCATCCTTTTCGGGGTGTTTTCTGAAGCTTTTTGTGGGGTTGGTGGTAGATGGCTGTGTTGCGAGCCGAATGAGAAAAATTGGTTGGTGATAAACAAATAGGTTAGGTAAAAGAGAAGATATATATTTCAGATGAAAAGGGATTCTGGGAGGGAGGGGTGATGCCAAACGCGTGGGGTGATGCCAAACACCCTTAGTGAATGCTTGGACCAGAGATGCTGAACCCTAAACCCTAAAACCTAAACCCTAAACCCTAAACCCTAAACCCTAAACCCTAAACATGGAAGGTCTCACTATGGGCAAGGAGGAGCGGTCTTGGACCCTGTTCCAACCGCCCGTCCTCCTGGCACCCCCAGCACGTTTTAAGCTGCGCGGCCTTGGCGGTGCAGGGTTTCGGAGGGTTCAGGTATTCTAGGGCTTGGGGTGTAGGGTTTAGGGTTCAGGGTTTGGGGGTTTAGGGTGTAGGGTGTAGGGTTTAGGTGTACTTGGAGGTTCATGGATAGTTATTTGCGTGTATACTCAGGGCAAATCTAGCTATGCCTGGTTAGAACCCTATGTGGGGCTCTCATTGCACTTCATGCAAGTACCATGAGTCTTTGGAGGCTGAGGGTTTAGAGGTTTGGGAATTTGGAGCTTCTGTCTGGGCAGGAAGGCAGCTAAACAGGATCCTGCAGATGTCTCTGGTCTCAGGTAAGGGGTGCTCAAGTTCTTTTCTTATGGTCACGGTTCAGGATTCTTTCTTTACAGGGTTTGTTGCACAAGTTTGTAGTCGGGATGTGGGCTTAGGATTTAGGGGTTTCGGGTAGCTTCGCCCAGCGCCAGTCGCGCAACCTCTTCAGCGTCCCCTCGCTGACGCGCTCGACCTCCCACGCCACGTGGCTTGGCTGCGCTAGGAACCCACCCTCGGCCCTAAGCCCCTCAAAGCCCCATTGCAGCCTTAACGCCGCCCCCAAAAAAGTCCACCAAGAAAATTCCTAAACCCCGAAACCCCACACTCCAAAACCTGAACCCTACATCCTAACCCCTAAACCCCAAACCCTGAAAAAAACCTAAACCCCAAAAGCCCCCCTTCAAAGCTGAGGCTCGTATTCGAGTTGGCGGGGCTGTCCAGCCAACACGTTTTCCCTGCCTTCGCCTTCTCCACGCCGCGCCGGCCAGACTTAGGGTCGGCAACCCCCAACCCTAAACCTTGTCATAGTTGGGTACCCTAAACCCTAGACCCTAGACCCTAAACCTTTCGCATTTTTAAGGGTACTTAAACCCAAACAAATTCAAGTTTTAATGTTATCCCAACCATGAACTAATAAACCCTATCACTCAACCAACCCCCTCTACTTGCAGTGCTTCACCCCAAAGAACTACTAGTAGTTACTAGGTTGTTGTTCTGTTTCTTATATATATATATATGTATATATATATATATGTATATATATATATATATATATATTTTGTTTTTTTTTTTTTTTTTTTTTTTTTGGGGGGGGGGGGGGCGTTGGGTTTAGGGCTTCATCCGCCCTAAGCGGCTATATATATATATATACATAAGCTGTATCCTCCTTTCAGCCAGGTACTCCATGACGCTTGCGCTGGCGTCTCACCCGGAAGTCGACGGGTGGGATGTCGACGTTATAGCCGAGGACCCGACCAGGGCATCTTTCAACAAAGCATTATTGGATGTGTTATGGTGGTCGCTGTGGCTTAGCGTAGACGAGTAATTTCCCCCCCCCCCCCCCCCCCCCCCCCACCCTATATAACCCTTAACCCTAGACCCTAAACCCTAAACCCTAAACCCTAGACCCTAGACCCTAAACCCTAAACCCTCAACCCTCAACCCTACACCCTAAACCCTAAACCCTAACCCCTAAACCCTAAACCCTAACTCCCCCCCCCCACCAAAAAAAATGGTAAATAAATAAAACACCCCACAGCCCGAAGCTGCAAGAGAGGATCACCACATGTTTTGCAAGTGCTACTTTGCCGCCCTGTGGGAGCTCTTGAATGCCAAGAAGGCACTTCGACCGGGTTGCTTGCGAGGTTCATGCGAGCCCTCTTCAGGGCGTTTAGGGTTAGGATTTAGGGTTCAGGTTTTAGGGCTTAAGGTCAGGGTTTAGGGTGTAGGGTGAGGGGGGAGGGGGGGGGGGGGGGGGGCGGCATTGAATAGGGTTTAATTGAGGTCTTCGTCAGCTACAGGCATCCCGAGCGTTGAGGGGTTGGGGGGGGGTTACTGGGGCTTTACAGTAGTGCACCGGGAGTCAGGGTTTAGGTGTTAGGGAGGTCTGGATTCTTGAGGTAGTTGCAAGCAGGATCACGAGCAGCCCGAATCAATCCTCCCCATTGAAGGGTCCCCGAAGGGCACTTCTACTATCCTTCGGAGGGCAACCCTAAACCCTAAACCCTAAACCCTAAACCCTAAACCCTAAACCCTAAACCCTAAACCCTAAACCCTAAACCCTAAACCCTAAACCCTAAACCCTAAACCCTAAACCCTATAACCCTAAACCCTAAACCCTAAACCCTAAACCCTAAACCCTAAACCCTAAACCCTAAACCCTAAACCCTAAACCCTAAACCCTAAACCCTAAACCCTAAACCCTAAACCCTAAACCCTAAACCCTAAACCCTAAACCCTAAACCCTAAACCCTACCCCCTGAAGTCGGAGGCTTCAAGACAGGGAATCTGGGGCAGGCCTCGGAGACAAGTCCAGGGTCTAAACCCTAAACCCTAAACCCTAAACCCTAAACCCTAAACCCTAAACCCATGGTGGCCCTCCACCCAGGTCTTCGTCTCTTGCTGCATGCGTGTCGAAAGCCGAAAACCGCCCGCACGCCCCTCCCGAGACTCCATCCTAAGCCCAATGATTCGACACGTGCTTCAAGGTTCATGGGTAGACTAAGGTTCCAATAGCCCTCAGTTATCCTCTTTTGACCCCAAGCCCTAAACCTCGCTGGACCCATCTCCTGATAGCCACCCATGCACCTGCCTGCGTATGTCGAGGCGTCCAATGAGGTCCAAATCGTGCCGCGAGTGAAGGCCTTCATGTGCCATGACACTAGGTTTACAAGGTTTGTGACTTAGGGTCTAGGGTTTCGGGCTTAGCTTAAGATTTTCGGTTTGGTGGCATATGGGGTTTAAGGGTTTCTGGTGTAGGGTAGGGAGAGTTGAGGGTGGAGTGGTTTGGGGTCCAGAGTTGAGGGATCCTAAACACCAAACTCAGCAAAAGCAGACAAATCTCTCAAATCTCCGATATGCAGGCTATAGACTGAGGGTTGGGTGTTCGGATTTGGCGAGTCCTAAACCCCAAGCCCTAAACCCTAAAGGTTTAGGGCAGGACACAGGGCTTCGTGGAGCTTCTTCTAGGCTTTGTCGGTGGGGGGCCGAAAGCCCTAAAACCCTAAACTGATGTGGTGAGCCGACAGGTTCAGCCAATTTTCCTGCCGGCGGCGGCCTCAGCTGAGCTGGGGTTAAGGCTTACAGCGTTTAAGCATCCATTTCAACATACCTGTGCAAGTAAGATCTGGGCCGTTGATGCCCAAAAGCTCTCAGCCTTCAACTGCAAAGCCCCGAAGTCCTAAAGCTCTGAACCCGGAAAGCCTTAAACGCCCCGAAAGTTCGCCCTCAGAGGAAGAAACAGAAGAACGAGGAGAAGAAGCAGGAGAAGAAAACACATACGTGTGGAGAAGCCGAGCGCAAGTGCTGGTGAGGCGGTGTCCTAGGATGGCCAGTAGTACCCTTATTCCCTTTTTTTGGGGGTTTAGGTTCCCAAATAAACCCCAAAAAGCAAAAAAGGGCACCCAAAGAAAGCCTGGGTTACTGGGCAGCTTAGTGTCGAAGGATGACACGTAGGCCAGACAGCAAGCCAGGGTCAGGCCCGACTGGCACTTTGCAGCAGATGGGTTCCGACGCGACGCGAGCGAAGCCCTAAACCCTAAGCCCAAAACCCTAAACCCTAAACCCGAAACCCGAAATCCTGAACCCTGAACCCTGAACCCTGACCTCTTGAGTGTGCGCAAGTGAGTGGCTGGATCTGGCCTCTCGACTGCGAGGCCTGACCTCGGGAGCCGCTGGCTGTAGTTCCTCCTCGTGCCCACTCTGGGTATAGGGTTTAGGGTTTAGATCTTCGCCCTGAACCCTAAACCCTAAACCCTGGAGATGTTGCAGAAGGAGATGGTGTTGGTGGTGGTGAAGCTGGGGGTGGATCTGGTGTGGTGGGGGGAGAGAAGGGTGGTAAACCCTAAACCCTAAACCCTAAACCCTATAAACCCACAAAACCTGAACCCGGAACCTGGAACTCCTGGCATGGCTGAGGCCGTGTCTTTCCTGGTCGAGGCAGATGGCTACTTCGCTTCCCTTCGCGCGCGCTTTCAGCAGGCAGGGTTTAGGGATTCGGGTTTAGGGTTTAGCCCGACGGGTTTAGTTCCGGGGATGGGTTTGTGTCGTAATTTACAGGGTTTCGTGTTGTAGAGGCCGGAAAAAAACAATTATTGTGAGTCGGTTTCGGTATGAAAGAGGGGGCTGCTGCAATTGCACAGAATCCGTTGTCTTTTCAAGAAGCACAGGGCCCAAAGACCAATGTCCAAACCAGGAAGCATCTAGTTGAGACCCTAAGCCCCGAGTCCGAACCTCGAAGCATCTACTTAAGACCCGAAGCCCCGACTCCAAACCACGAAGCATGTACTTTAGATTTGCAGGCCTGAGTCCATAGCAGGCAGTACTTCTTAACGAGGCTACGCTGAGAATCCTGTGATGCGCTTCCCGAGTGGCTGAAAACCAAGCACAGTAGCATCCGCTGCGCGCTACAGAGGCAAGGCATGCGCGGCTAGAAACAGAAGATGTCGTGGCAGATGTTCCCACTCCTTAGCATCCCCACCCAAAGAAGCCGGGTTCAAAGTGTCGTTCTTAACCCCCCCCCCCACCCCCCCCCCCCCACCCCCCCCACCACCCCCCCACCCCCCCCCCCACCCCCTCCCGAAGAAACCAAAAAAGCGCAAAACGCGCTGGGTGTAAGTAGCAAAGGCAGGCTATCATACATGTCTCGATTCTACCACGCAGGCCACGCTTTTCGTGACCTCGCACAAAACACCGACGACAACCAGGCACCAAAAGTAGCGCAACTTTTGGTAGTTGCAAACGCTGCAATGGCAACACGTCACAACAGACAAAAAAAAACCGACATGTTGAACATCGCAGGAAAACCACACGCAGGCCAATGTTTGCAACATGCAGCGTGAGCACAGAGCACCAGCAACAGGCAAGAAAAAGCTGCTAGGACCTGAAAAACCGTCCCCGGAAGTGAACCCGCCAGGGGGTTTAGGGTTTAGGGTTTAGGGTTTCGGGTTTCGGGTTTCGGGTTTCGGGTTTCGGGTTTCGGGTTTCGGGTTTAGGTTTTAAGATTTAGGGTGTACAGGTGCGGTGGATGTCCCATGCAGCATGTACTCCAAGCCCGAAAGTGCCTCCGACCATGGGATTTTCTCCTTATACCAGTCCTTAATGGGGATATATATATATATATATAATAGGGGGTACTCGAATCCCTATGAAGGAGCTGTTAGTGTAAGGGGGAACATCCCAATTCTAAACAGGGGGGGTGGGATCTACGTTGCGGGAACTTCACAGGGGAGACCCAAATTAGCCCGTAGTTTCTGTCAGCCCCCATAAGTAGATCCGTGCGGCACAACCTGAAAGCCTAGACCCAATCAGCTACAAATAGAGAAACCCTCTTAGCCCCGAAGCCCAATTAGGGTTTAGGGTTTAGGGTTTGGGGTTGGGGGTTTAGGGTTGTCTCCGACCAGCACCCTCACCCAGATCTCCAGGCAACACGGGTTTCAGGTCTAGGGTTTTAGGTTTCAGGGCTTAGGGTTTTAGGGTTCAGGGTTTAGGGTTGAGGGTTTGCAGTGCGAAATGCACACCATTCAAAACATTCCGGATTTGCTTGACTCTCCTTTGCTTGGCAGGAGTGGTGGTACCTGTGACTGTTCTGCCCCACCGCACGAGGAGGTCCAGCCCAAAGAACCCAACCCCGAACCCCTTGCAGGCCGAGGTCATACATTCAATAGCCTGAACCACAAACTCAGCCTAAACCCTAAACCTTAAGCCAAGAAACCAATTAAGCAACAGCAACACCAGGCTCAACCTATCAGTCCGTGCGGGCATGTGCAGGCCAGAAGACACATGCAAGGCATTGTCGAGCTGGGCTATGCGACTCAGCCACATTTGGAGTTCAACATTTATTTAGTTCTATTCTCAGTATTAGTATGATTGCTATTCGTATGATTGTTATTAGTATGATTGTTATTAGTATGATTGTTATTAGTATTATTGTTATTAGTATTATTGTCATTAGTATTATTGTCATTAGTATGATTGTTAGTGTATTATTGTTGTCTTTTTTTTGAGAGGCGGTGGCTTAGTGTTTGCGGGCTTTGGCGGCGTGGCGTCCAAGCAAATGAAAGGATCCTCCAGGTCTCTGTTCTTTCGTGGGCTACTCAACTACTGTTTGCTTCTTCCTTATAAGGGTAATATAGGGATTGTAATACTTTATTTTTTGGGGGGTTCTCAACTACTATTTGCTTCTTCCTCATAAGGGTAATATAGGGATTATAATATTTTATTTTTTGGGGGGTTCTTAAGCAAGTAGTAGTTAACCAGAGACAAGCACACAGGATACCCTTGCCCGTGAACCCGAAACCCCGAAGACCCCAAAGCCTCTGAAACAGCCCAACCCCAAAGACCCCGAAGCCCGAACAGCCCTAAAGCCCCAAAGACCCCTAAGCCCCTCAAAAACCCTAAGCCCCAAGCCACATGGGTAGTTCTCGAAATTAGGCTCCCTTTTTGGGGCGGGTGCCGGTACAAAACAAGGACCCTCATTGAGCCCAACTTCCTACATAGTTGCGGGGGGGGGGGGGGGGGTTAAGAAGCCTCGTAAAGGGACCCCCAAAAACAGGAACCCCTGTTTTTGGAAACCCCCCCATATCAGGTTCAATCCGAGTTCCAGGAGACACCAAGTCAGGCTTTGGTGTTTGAGTTGAAACTTTGTTTGCCGTGCTCTCCTCTCCTAGTGTCCCCCTCGGTAATTATGTTTTTTTAAGACCCAAGAGAATATTGAACACATTATTTTCATTAAGGTTCTAAGGGGAGTATAGTCTCCTAGTGTCCTAGCGCCCTAAGCCCGCAAGTCACTCAACCCCGGTTTGAGGCTTTAGGGTTTAGGACCCCAGCCGGTTAACTCTTGTGCTTCCGAGTCGAAACCTTAAAGGCCCTGAACCCTTTCTCACGCTGATGAACCCTATGAACCCTATGAACCCTATAAACCCTAAACCCTCTCAACCCTAAAAACCCTAAACTCTACACCCTAAACCCTAAACCCTAAACCTAAAACCCTGAACCCTATGAACCCTATAAAACCCTGTTCCCAGGTGATGCTGCAGTGGATCCGTTTGAGCACCAGCATCGGCAGGGCTCAGATCCCGAAGCGCACGCCGCTCGCTTCCGAAGACCCTCCACCCTCAGCCTTGAACTTAAACCAAAACACCCTTTAGGGTATTATGGTTTAGAGTTTAGGGTTTAGGTTTTAGGGTTTAGGGGTTCACGTTTAGGGTTTAGGGTTTAGGGTATTTCCCTAACCTAACCCCCCCCCCACCCACACCCTAACCCGTAAATGTCCTAACGCTCGTCAAGCAGGACTTAGGCATACACCTGCTAAACCTCACATGTTAAGTTCTAGGGGTTTAGGATTATTGTTTGTTTTGGGTTTAGGGGCTGCGTATATGTCTTCAGGGCTTTGGGCTGAGGCATCTCTCCGTTGCACTCATCGCTATCAAGATGTACATCATGCACATCGTCAGTCGGGGCCCACAGTCGACATCTGTGCGATTCTGAACTGTTTGGTTTGGGATGTTCCCCTTGTACTCGCAATCCTCAAGAGGCATCATAGTACCCCCTATTAAAATCCTATTAAGGAGCTGTTAGTATTCCTAAACACTGAACCCAATTATAATCCCTATGGAGGGCTGTTAATATCCCTAAACCCTAAACCCTGTTATAGTCTCTATTAAGCATGCTATTAAGGACTGTTAGTATAACGGGGAAAGTTTGGTCTTTGCCAAGGGTTCCCTGAACCACCGCACCGGCTTAATGCTTAGGGTTCAGGGTGTTCAGAGTCAACTTCAGCGTGCGGCGTCATTGCCCAGCCCACGCACGGAAGCAGGTTTAGGGTTTAGGGAAAGCAGGTTTAGGGTTAGATAGAGGCAGCATGCATTAGTTGGGCCTAGCATGGCTTCTTCGCCAAGCAAGCAGCCTTTCCAAATTAATATACCTGCATGGGCTATTATTCCCTATAAGCCCTTAAAAGGCCCTTCATAGGGTTCGTTAAGGGGATTATAGGGCTTAGTAACCCATGCTGGTGCACGCAGCCCTCGCTTTCAAGCAGCGTTCAGGCCGCAGCTCGGGAAACTTTCTCTGCGCCCTAAGCCCACACCCTAGCCCCCTAAACCCTAAACCCTAAACCCTAAACCCCAAACCCCACACCCTAAACCCGACACCCCAGTGCTTTTGGGGACTCTGGGCCTTTACGCCCTTCAGGCAGTTGCCAGTGCTTCTCGCTGGTGCTCGTGGCCACTTGCCGGATCCTCCCAAGGCCATGAGGGCAGTGCTCTAAACCATATCGGGTGGTTGTCAAAATTATGGTCCCTTTTACGGCACCCAGTATTTAGGGTACCCCCAACAGGGATCATAATTTTGACAACCGACCCATAGGGCGTATTTCCCAACATAGGGGTACCCCAAGTATCCCCGCAAATATGATAGTCCTTGTCATAGGATCCCCCAAAAAGGGTACCCCAATCTTCGGAAACCCTGATATACGCATACAGGCACGTATTCTGTATGAAAAATAAAGAATAAACAAATAAACATACGTATGTATGTATGTATGTATGTATGTCTGTATGTATGAATGTATGTATGTATGTATCCTGGCTTTCATGTTATACATGTATACATGCTATCATTCATATACACACGTAAGTGTATATATATATATATATATATATATGGGTTTGTGTTTTTTGGGGGGCTCAGGTTTAAGAATGGCACACGGGTTGCACACCCGCGAGACATACCCCGAAACATACCACGAAACATACCCCCGAAACATACCCCGTAACATACCCCCGAAATTGCAGGTAAAGTAGCTCCTGATGCCGCGAAACATACCCGAAACATACCCCCGAAACATACCCCGAAACATACCCGGAAACATACCCGTGAAACATACCCCGACCCCAACACGTGTCACGCGCCTCCCCATTAAAATACAAACCCATATATATATATATATATATATATACACATGAGCCTCTATCGTAATGGCTCTTGCTTTTGAGAACCAGTCCCCTAGAATGGTCTCTTCCGTATACTTAGGGCAGTTCCTTGAAGCGTTGAGGAGTAGAAGGGTTTAGGATTTAGGGTTTAGGGTTTACGGTTTAGGGTTTAGGGTACAGTCTGCGTGCAGACAGCCCCCCAAACTTTGAAATCTAAGGCCTCCCCTTTGAGCCCTAGAGCCCGAAGCCCTAAAGCCCTAAAGCACTAAAACCCTCCCTCCCCCTGTCCCTCCCCCCCCCCAACACGCACAAACAAGAGAGTAAGTCTTCGCCCTAAAGCCCCAGGAGGGACAGGAGATTTTCCTAAACCCTAAACCCTTAAACCCTAAACCCGAAACCAGAAACCCTAAACCCTGAACCCTGAACCCTGAACCCTAAACCCTAAACCCTAAACCCTAAACCCTAAACCCTAAACCCTAAACCCTAAACCCTAAACCCTAAACCCTATAAACCCTAAACCCTATAAACCCTAAACCCTAAACCCTAAACCCTAAACCCTAAACCCTAAACCCTCGATGAGGGTGGGAGAGCTGCTGCGCCACCTGCAGCTGGGCTCCATGGGCGCGCTCGGCGAGGCGCTGTTCAGGGGTTTCGGGCTTACAGCGTTTAGGGTTTAGGGTTTAGGGTATAGGGCTTAGGGTTTAGGGTTTAGGGTTTCGGGTTTGGGGTTTAGGTCGTTTAGAGCGTTGAGGGCGTTTAGGGTTTACGGCGTTGAGGGCTTATAGTGTTTATGGTTATAGGGTTGAGGGCTGAGGGTTTAGACCTCATGTTAATCCCAGACCCGGAACCCCCATATCCCCCAAAGCCCTCCAAATCCTTCTTCTCATGTGGCCTAAGTCCTAAACCCTTCCGAGAGCTCTAGGGCCCTAGAAACCTTAAGCCCTGGAATGATTGAACCCTCGAAACCTTATGCACCTAAACCCTGAACCCTAAACCCTGAACCCTTAACCATCCTACACCCCAAAACGTAAGCCCCTAAGCCCCTAAACCCCTAACCACTAAAACCCAAAACCTCGAACAAATTACAGGAGAGTCGAAGGGGGGGGGGGGTGGGCAGCCCTGCCAGTCAAGGGACTAAAGGAGGGACCCTCATTAGGGACCTTGGGGGCTCTTTGGCAGTTCTTTAGGGGCTACTGAGGTATATCGGGACTATTTTAGGGTTCAGGGTTTAGGGTTTAGGGTTTAGGGTGATTATATAAGGGTTATCGAGTATATGGGGACTAAGATGAAGGGCCCCTACCAGGGGTGTCTAGCCCTAAACCCCAAACCCCAAACCCCAAACCCCAAACCCCAAACCCTAAACCCTAAACCGTAAAACCTTACCCTAAAACCGAAACCCTAAACCCTAAACCCTACACCCTAGACCCTAAACCCTAGACCCTAATCCCTTCTAGGGGTCCCTCCTTTAAACCCCCCTTCCCTGCCAGGAGCTGAGGTCGCAGCTCTTCGACCTGGGAGGCAGCTGGAGCTCCATGAGCAGCGCCCAGCAGGCCTTGGGGTTTAGGGTTTAGGGTTTAGGGTTTAGGGTTTAGGGTTTAGGGTTTAGGGTTTAGGGTTTAGGGTTTAGGGTTTAGGGTTTAGGGCCGCTTGCGTTGCGGGATTTTCCAGGGGGTATTTTTCAGGGTTCGTGGGGGAGAGTCGCCCTAAACCCTGGACCCTAAACCCTAAACCCTTGTAGGGTGCTAGGTTTTCAGGTTTGTTTGTGTTTTTTTTGCGGTGGAGGGGGGGGGAGGGGTTGGGGTTCTCGGACTTGGGGTTTCAGGACTTTGGGAGTCTTAGGGCTCCAAGGTTTTCGGGTTCCAAAGCTCTAAGGTTTTGACTTTGCGGTGTTCTCGTAGGGTTCTAGGGTTCTGGGTTTGGGATTCCGGGGGTTTTTAAGGTTCGGCGGTTTTAGGGTTCTTGGCTTAGGAATCTAGGCTTCCTGGCTTCTGGGTGATTCTAGGGTTTCAGGGTTCTAGGGGCGAAGGGTTCCAGGGTTGCAAGGGTACTGGGGTTCGAGGGTTTAGTCTTCGGAGGTTTTAGGGCTTAGGTTTTTCGGGTTTTGAGATTTTTGGCTAGGTTTTTCGGGTTTAGCCTAAGCCTCAAAAGAGGAAGGTAGGGTGGTCCAAGCGGGATTCTGTCATATCTGGGAGGTTTTGGGGGCTAGATCTGCCAGTTGCCTGAAGTCTCCTCCCTCAACCTAAGCGACCTCGACTCTACAGCCCAACCCTTCCCCCACAGCCTGCAGCGCCAGAAGAAGAGCCCTAAACCCTCAACCCGGACTCAACCCGGAAACTGATCTCCTGCAAGAGTGGCAACTACCCTCCCCCCCCCCCCCCCCTCCCCCTATCAACCTCCCCTACATACCCCCCCCAAAATACCCCCCCCCCCCCACCCTCATACCCCCTCCCCAGAGGGAGGGGATCACCTCCAGGCGCTGACGGCGGCGATGAGCCAGATCTCCGGCATCATGATGCTCCCCGACTCTTTGGGGTTTATGCTTGAAGGGTTAGGGCTTTGTTTTGGGTCTAGGGTGTAGGGTGTAGGGTGTAGGGTTTAGGGTTTAGGGTTTAGGGTTTAGGGTTTAGGGTTTAGGGTTTAGGGTTTAGGGTTTGGGGTTTAAGTCCTTAGTAGGGATTATAATTGGGGGTACTAGAATCCCTACTAAGGAGCGATTAGTATCAAGGGGGGAAGATCCCAAGGTTTCTGGTTGAAGGTTAGGGTTTTGGGGTTTGGGGTTCAGGGGTTCCTTCGGCGATGCTGGATTAGATGTTACGGTTTTCTACAGGGAATTTAGGCTGTCGGGCCCCTCACCTGGGGGCGTACGATAATAAGGGGCCCCTGAAATGGACCCCCAGATTGCCAAGTAGCAGGATCCCCCTTATAAGAAGGACCCAGCAAGGTACCCCGAATATCGTAAGGCCCCCATGTGTACGTAACAACATCTTCGGTCCGATCGCGGTCGTGGCGGAGAGCCGTCCCCGGCGGCGATGCCTGAACTAGGACATGCCAGGAACATCACCTAAACTCTCAACCCCGAGCCCTAGACTCCCTACACACTGAACCCTAACTACCCCAAACAAAGCCCTGAACCCTAAGCTCCTTTAACCCTAAGTCCTGCTTGACTCATTGGAGTAGCAGTCGGATCTAGGGTTTAAGCGCTTTTTGGAGGTTAACGGGTAGTTGTGTATGCAGGTTTATCAGTAGGGAAACTACAGCTCGCGGGCTAGAGCTGTCATTGGGGGTGATCAGAACCATAACCTAGAAGTACCCGTAAACCCCAAAAAACCCACACCCTGAAGCCTGAACCCTAAACCCTAAACCCTAGCTTTCCCGCTGCTCCCGAGGCTCTACACCATCACCTGCGCCATAGCCGGGGTCTCATCCCTTCGTGTCGCTACGGGCATGACCAAAATAGGGGTACCCCTCGAAAACCCCAAATAGATGGAATTCCCTTGAAGGGACCGCCAAGAAGGGCACCCCTAATTTCGGAAGCCCCCATATCGATGACTTATGGGTAGGCAAAACTTTAAAAGGAGGGCTCAACCAGCCACCGCCACCTACCATCTTCCCTACTTACAAACCCCCAAGTCATGACTACCGCATCGAATGGGTTTATACGGGTTTGTAGGCTCGCAGTTCTCGTAATTCTGAGAGAATCAGGGGAAGCGGCCAAGATTTCATCCACCGCCTCTGAATCCCCACGTCTTTAGAGATGCAAGAAGCGAACGGTAGGCCCTAGAGCCTAAACCCCATGTTTGGAGGCTCACGTCCACCTCATGCCTGAAAGGTGGCTAGTGTTTTATTTGGTCCCTAAACCCTAAACCCCAACCCTAAATCCTGTAATGTTCGGGATTCGAATCGCTTAGAGCCATCGGGGCCCCGAACTGCGAGCGCCAAACTTGGATCCTTATTCTCCCCAGCTCGAAAGCCTGAAGCCATAAGCCTAAACCCCAAACTCTAAGCCCCGAACCCCCAACCCTAAACCCCAAACCCTAAACAGGAATGCCCAAAGCCGTCCCAAGCGCCGAGCTGCTGAAAGGTGGCCATTGACTTGATGGAAGGGACGTACCACAGAGAGATCAACTCCAGACGGCGCCCTAGCGCTGGGGGTGGGGGGCGGGTGGGGGGTTAGGGTTTAGGGTTTAGGGTTTTGGGTTTAGGGCTTAGGGTTCAATTCGGGTTCAGAGTTTAGGGTTTGGGGCTTTGCGTGTTTTTAAGCTTTAGGGCTCTTGCTAAGCTCAATCCACAAGGCTACGGGCAGCTAAATTTCAAGCAAGCCCAGAAGTTCCCTCTCCAGGCCTCGACCTGAAACCGGAATCAATCCATGACTAATCCTGAAAGTTTAGAGTTTAGAGTTTGGGGCTTAGGGTAAACCCTGAACCCTAAACCCTGAACCCGAAACCCTAAACCTTGCTGAGGCCTCCCAGCCCCCAAGGAGTTCGAGAAGGAGGTGAAGGCGACAGTTTAGGGTTAAGGGGTTTAGAGTTTAGGGTTTAGGGTTTCGGGTTCAGGGTTCAGGGTTTAGAGCTTAGGGTTTAGGGTTTAGGCAGTCTAGGAGTTGGAGAAGGAGGTGAAGGCGACAAGTGAGAGCCCTGGGAGTCTTTGGGGTTCAGGGGCTTACGGGGTTTTAGGGCTTCGGGGTTTTTGGTTTGAGGGTTCTTAGGGGTCTAGGGGTGTGTGGCTGTTCATGGCCTTCAACTCTGGGAGTTTTTGTTTGTTTTGTTTTTTTTTTTTTTTTTTTGGGGGGGGGGGGGGGCGGGAGGGTATCCGCAACAAAAAAAGGTGATCCCTAGCTCAGCAGCCGCGCCGCACCCTCGAGGATCCCAAGTTCAGCATCTTCAGTGTCGCCCAACAAGGGGACCACATCTACTATGTGTTTAAGAACCCCCCCCCCCCCCCAAAAAAAAAAACACAAAGCAGACAACAATCCCTATTTGCCCCTATCAGGAAGAATCTTTTTTTTTTGGGGGGGGGGGGGGGTGGGGGGGTTCTCAAGCGACGAGTGTATCCAGAGAGCTGGCTGTACGGGTGCCTGTCCCCCTTTACGTTTGGGCTGGCTGGGGGAGGGGGGGGGGGGGGGGCGGGAAGAAGGGGGGCGGGAAGAAGGGGGGCGTGGGCAACTAAGGGCTTGAAAGCTTCAAGGGCTAAGAGTTCTTATATTATCTTATTCCTAAGAATATAAGTAATTTAGACTAATTTTAACAACAGCCTTCCCCAATCCTAACCCCAAACATGTAACCTGGCCCCTCAACTCCCAGACCGCAAGTTTGAGGGCTTTTGGGGGCGACTTTGGCTCACGGTTGACCTTCTTGAAGGTAAGCCCTATTCACTCTGCTCGGAGAGCCTCCGAAGGGGACCCTAAACCCTAAACCCTAAAAACCCTAAACACCCTAAACCCTAAACCCTAAACCCTAAACCCTAAACCCTAAACCCTAAACCCTAAACCCTAAACCCTAAACCCTAAACCCTAGACCGACCTGAACCCTAAACCCCAGACCCCCTAGCTCATCTTTGGGAACTACACCGCATGCAGGTCTGGGGTTCCAGTTTTCCTGTCAGTAGGGTTTAGGGTTTAGGGTTTAGGGTTTAGGGCTTAGGGTTTAGGGCTTAGGGTTTAGGGTTTAGGGTTTAGGGTTTAGGGTTTTGGGTTTAGGGTTTAGGGTTTAGGGTTTTTGCGTTTAGCGTTTAGCGTTTAGCGTTTAGCGTTTAGCGTTTAGCGTTTAGCGTTTAGCGTTTAGGGTTTAGGGTTTAGGGTTTTAGGGTTTAGGGGGATGTTGGGGACGCCGAAGACGTCACCTCAGCCTTTCTGAAGATCGCAGCCCTCAACTGCAACGACCCAAGGTCGTTTGAGAGACCCCAAACCCTCTACACCATATTCTTGGGATGTTCCCTCTTCAACTAACGGTCCTTAAAAGGGATATTTGGGCGGGGTGGGGGGGTGGGTGTACTAGAATCCCTATTCAGGAGCTGCTAGTATCAGGGGGAACATCCCAACCCTCAACCCTAAGCCCCCTAAACCCTAAACCCTCACGAAAACCAACGTGCCCTCGCCTTGCAGGTAGATGAGCGACCACTTTGTAGGCTGGAGCCTGCTTGCTTGCTTGGGCTTTTGAAGGGGTCTAAAAGGGACCCTTCATCTTATTCCCCTATAAATTCCCTATATGTACCTTACTTACTCCCATACCTAAGTAGCCCGTAAATAACCGCTATGGTTATAAGGGTCCCTCTTTTTGTCCCTTGAGCTTTGTGGTGGGAAAAGCCCTTTTAGAATCTTCTGACAGGCAAAACGGCTTTCCTTTTCTTCGTTATTGTTTATTACTCCCCGCCGGGGGGGCGGGGTTCAACCCTAAACACCTAAAGCACTTTAAGTACCCCAAAACCCTGAAGCCCTCATACCCTAAAGCCCTAAAGCCTTAGACCCTAACACTCTACAGCCCATACCCTAAAGCTCTAAACCCCAACAGCCTAAAGCCCTCATAACCGTCATAAACAGAAGCCCTAAAGCCCTCATACCCTAATGCCGGAAACACCCCTTCATGCCGCCTTCGCCGCCCCAGTGGTGCCCTTCTCCCTTTTTTTGGTTCCTAGTACCCGGTTTAAAGTAACCAACCCCAAGAAAGGGCACCCTTATTCTGTAATATGGCTACCCTAAACCCTAAATCCTAAACCTAAACCCTAAACCCTAAACCCTAGACCCTAAACCCCAAACCCTAAACCCTAAACCCTAAACCCTAAACCCTAAACCCTAAACCCTAAACCCTATCATTATGACATGGCTACTGGGCTGCCAAGATCCCTAAGGCCCTGCACCCGAAAGGTCGGCCAAGAATCAAGACGGGAGCTGCCGTCTTGAGATGCCAGGTGTTCCCGAAGGCCGGAAGACAGAGCTCGAGCAACCCTAAACCCTAAACCCTAATCCCTAAACCCTAAACCCTAAACCCTAAACCCTGATTTGATGGGTAGTTACAACTGACTGGCGTTTGGGGGTTAGAGGGTCGGCATTGTTTCGGTAGCTGTTATTTTTCCGTTCTTTCAAGGAGCAAGCAAGCAAGCAAGTAAGCCCTAAACAAGCGTGTGCTTTGCGGGCGCGAGGCTTAACCGCAGGCATGAGAGGTTTAGGGTTTCGGGTTTAGGGTTTAGGGTTTAGGGTGAAACAAGCGAGGCTTTGTAACGGAGTTGGGCAGGGGGCCTCGTGACCAACGACAGACTGGGGGCATGTAAAGGAAGTAGAATACCGCAAGGAAGCTTGAGTTGCAAATGAAAATGCATATATATATATATATCTATACACACACGTTAGGATGTTCCCCCTTATACTAACAGTCCCTAAAGGGGATTCTAGTACTCCCTATTCTAATCCCTGTTGAGGTCTGTTACTATAGGGGGGGAACATCCCAGTCCGCACACTACAACATATACGTGCACCTAAACCCTGAACCCTAAACCCCAAACCCTAAACAGGGGCTTCCGGAGGGGGGCTGCCATGAGCCTCCCGATCCTGTGCCCTAAGCCTTGTCATCCTAGGGCCCAGAGTAGGCCATTCTTCATTACCCTTTGTAGGGGGTTAGGAATTTAGGGTTTGGGGTTTGGGCTTCTAGGGTAACCTTGGCCATTATTCATTATTCCCTTCTACTTTGAGTAGGCCCTTAATTCCCTAGGGGGTTACGAAGGGTTGAGGGTAACCTTTAGAACAGAGTAGGCCATTATTCCCTGTAGAGTTCAGGTTCCTTATATAAGGCCGGTGAACACACACAAAGGGGCACCCTTTTATTCCTATGGGTTTGTCTTGGGTCCCTAACCCTAAACTCCGAACCCTAACCCTAGCATCAGTAGACGCAGGCCGCAGAAGCTGGCTGGCACGGATAGCATTCATCATGTACATCCTGGTCGACAACACCCTGTCAGGCCGGTGCGCGATCAGGGGGCTCTAGGGGCTTTTATTTTTTCTTACGGTTTAAGGTTTAAGGTTTGTAAGGGTATGTATAAACCCTAAACCCTAGGCTTCAAACCCTACACCCCCCTACACCCCCCCCCCCCCCCCCAGGGATTAAGAGCTTGTTTGGATTCGGCGAAACCCTAAACCCTAAACCCTAAACCCTAAACCCTAAACCCTAAACCCTAAACCCTAAACCCTAAACCCTAAACCCTGGTGCATCGGAAGCTTGGGACCCGAGTTTCTGCCTGCAGCCGTCTCGGTACGCCTAATCGCCTCTCCCATGAAGCCCTCAGCTGGGTTTACCCTCAGCTGTAGGGTTTTTTGGGGTTTAGGGTTTAGGGTTTGGGGTTTAGGGTTTAGGATTTAGGGTTTTGTGTTCAGAGGTACTGGTGCCGCTTAGTGCGGGACTTGTTTTGGCTCCATAGGACGCCAACGGAACCTTTGTTATCCGTTCTTTCGGGGGCTAGATTCCCGCATAACCCCATGTAGCAAAAAAACGTCGCCCCTTTTATTAGCACCCTTGCCACTCGGGAACTCCAAATTCGAAGCCCTAAACTCGAACCCTTCGTTTGTCTGGGGCACTGTGGAACCCAAACCTCCAGAACGCCCGAATGCGGAGGTTGATCTGAATCAACCCATTGCTTAAGAACCCCCCCCCCCAAAAAAAAAAAGAAATCAAAAATATTTCCGATAAGCAATATAGGGATGTTCACCTTTTTATTTTTAGGGTTTTCTTAACCAAATTGTAGGAATCACACCCTAAACCCTACGGGTCTGTTTGTTTGGTGTCCCAAACTTCAACAGTGGTGAAGGTCTTTGTGTCTCCAAGGTGCACCCATAGAATGCCGGAATCGGAGTAGAGGTGAGAGACCTTCCCCACCTCCCCCCTCCCCCTCCCCCCTCCCCCCCTCCCCCTCCCCCCCCATTTTCCAGCTGGTCCCCCTTTTTGGGGCGTCCCGAAAGGGATGCTAGTCTATTTGGGGTGTAGTAGGGGTACCCCTATTTTGGGAGAATCCCCTATTTGGCCGGTTGCAGACCCTACAGTGCTAGCTACCTTTCCCACCTTCCCCGCTCCCCGTTTGGGGAAGGCGGAACGTAGCCCAGCCCTACTAGGGGGAAGAGCAAGAACAGGCCGGAACGTAGCGGAACGTAGCCAGCCAAGAGCGGAACGTAACCCCAGCCCTACTATGGGGAAAAGCCAAAGCAGGCCGGAACGTAGGTGGAACGTAACCAAAAACCCACGCGAAACCCATCCCAAACCCACTCGAAACCCTGGCAGGCGTGGCGATCAGCAGGTCATGAGTCATAGGGTTTTCAAGATGGGCCCGCGGGGTTCTAAAAATTGCAGCACTCCGAAAAGGGAAAAACATCGCAATTTACTTATACCTCCGTGCTGTCTTATAAATTAGAGAGCGGCGCGGCGGAACGTGGGCCAAAAACCCTAAAACCCAAAAGGAGTGGCTGTAGAACCCCAGAGGGAGAGAGAGCGCCCAAGACAGAGAAAGCCCCGATGTGGAAGGTTATCCCGCCTGGGCGATCTTCGCGGTCATCCCCGTGTTGCTGGCAGGCCACCCCTACTTGAGAGTTCCCATTAGGGAATCAGGTGCAATGATGCAATTGGGTTTAGGGTTTAAGGTTTCGGGTTTCGGGTTTAGGGTTGAGGGTTTCGGGCGTTGAAGGGACGAGACTGAAGTGTACTTGGCTCCCAAGCTCCCTACGAAGAGCTCGTCAGCCGAACCGGCCCCTAAACCCTAAACCCTAAACCCTAAACCCTAAACCCTTCGACCCTCCACGGAGGATGGTCGCTGCTGCGACGGGGCACCGACTTCGAGTACGTCGCCGCGGCCTCTCAGGAGGGTTTTGGGGTTTAGGGTTATAGGGTTTAGGGTTTAGGGTTTAGGGTTTTGGGGTTTTGGGGTTTTGGGGTTTAGGGGGTTTTGGGGGTTTGGGGTTTTGGGGTTTTGGGGGTTTTGGGGGTTTTGGGGGTTGGGTTTTGTTTTTTGGGTTGTTGGGGTTTTGGGGTTTTTGGGGGTTTTGGGGTTTTTTGGTTTTTGGGGGTTTGGGGTTTGGGGGGGTTTGGGTTTTGGGGTTTGTGGGTTTTGGGGTTCTTGGGGTTCTTGGGGTTCTTGGGGTTCTTGGGGTTCTTGGGGTTCTTGGGGTTTTGGGGTTTTGGGGTTTTAGGATTTTGGGGTTTTGGGGTTTTGGGTTTTTTTGTGGTTTTGGGGTTGTGGGGTTGTGGGGTTGTGTGGGGTTGTGGGTTTTGGGGTGTTGGGGTTTCAGGGTTTCAGGGTTTCAGGGTTTTGGGGTTTTGGGGTTTTGGGGGCCTAGGCTTTTAGGGCTTTGGGCTTGGGGTTTTAGGGCTTTGGGTTTTAGGGCTTTGGGTGCGGGCTTTCGGCTTCTGGGCTTTGGGCTTAAAAGAGTTTTAGGGATTTAGGGCTTTCGGGCTCTGGGGTTTGCCACAGACATCGATTCCAGCAATAAGCCTGTACTACCAGCCAATTCAAATCCAGTGCTTTCATGGAAGCATCGGTTAGAGTACACCTAAACCCTAAACCCTAAACCCCAAACCACAAAAATCTAAACCCTAAACCCAAACCCTGAACCCTGAACCCTGAACCCTGAACCCTGAACCCTGACCCCTGACCCCTGACCCCTGAACCCTGATCCCTGAACCCTGAACCCTGAACCCTGAAACCTCACCCTAAACCCTGAACCGCGACTCAATGAACATCCTAACGACTCATGGAAGCGTCTTTCTATACAAGCGGCTCGGAGATCTACTTGAGCTATCTGGGGGTTTTAGGGTTTGGGGTTTAGGATTTAGGGTTTAGGGGTTTAGGGGTTTATGGGGTTTATGGGGTTAGGGTTTTTAGGGATTTAGGGGTTTAGGGGTTTACCTTATTGGGGTCCTTATTATATGAGAATCCTAGTATTGGGGGTCTTTTTTTAGGGACTCCCATCTTGTTGTCTCGGACCCCCCGAATAGGGCCTTAATTCCCTGCTCGGGGGGTTGGGAATTTAGGGTTTAGGGTTTAGGGTTTTTAACCCTAAACCCTTAAACCTTAAAACCCTAAACCCTAAACCCTAAACCCTAAACCCTAAACCCTAAACCCTAAACCCCGAAGTTCCTCCCAGGTTGCCTTGAAGCCCAACTGAGCCAACGTGCAAGTTGCGGCCACAACGTGCATGCAATGCTTCCGGGACTACGCAGCTGGCGCCTAGACCTTGCGCGTTTTAGGGTATAGGGTTTAGGGTTTAGGGTTTAGGGTTTAGGGTTTAGGGTTTAGGGTTGGAGGTTTAGGGTTTAGGATTTAGGTTTAGGGTTTAGGGTTTGGGGCCACCTTGAGGGTTTGACTACACGGCCGCTTTGAGTTCCACGTAGTCCCCTAAACGCTCAACGCCTGGGATGGGCTTGGGGTTTAGGGTTTATTAATAGGGTTTAGGGTTTAGGGTTTAGGGATTGGGGTTTATTAAGGGTCTAGGGTTTAGGGTTTAGGGATTGGGGTTTATTAAGGGTCTAGGGTTTTGGGGTTGTAGGGTACTTGAAGGTTCATGGGTAGTTCAAATATGTACCGTTATAAGTCCCCCGCCCATATAAGGTTATCAGCACTAGCACTTGTACCCAACAAATGCCAAGTAGAGCCTAAGCACGGCTTAGCTTATATCCGGGGGCTTACGATACTAGGGGTAACCTATTGAGGTCCTTGTTACAAGGGGGATCCTACTCTTTGCGGGTCTTTATTCGGGGTCCTTTATTCTCGTCAACCCCATAAGGTTTACGTAGGGGCACGTAGCTCGGGGTTTGAGGTGCGTATTGAGCAGCTACGGTAGGTAGACGAGCCTCGCAAATCAAGGCGCCTTTAACAAAAATCTTCCCGCACCTTCGCCAAATTGCGGGCGGTGCCACGAGATTTTCGACGGACCTTTTGCTGAGCCCCTGCTCGCACCGCTTGGCTGTGGGTAGCTGCTTCTGGTTTTTTTAGGTTTAGGGCCCCTAGAACCAAAAAACTCTCAGCCCTTAACCCCATAAACCCCAAATTTGGGTTCGGCCGGTCCACACTAACAGTCACCACCAGCAGACCCACAAATAAAAGCACCCGGTAAATGCCAAAAAATTGACTGAGATTCCTGCTATTCCTGGTGCTATTCCTGGTGCTATTTTTTGTGATATTGTTTGTGTTATTTCTGGTGCTATTCCTGGTGCTATTTCTGGTGCTATTTTTTGTGCTATTGTTTGTGCTATTTCTGGTGCTATTTTTTGTGATATTGTTTGTGCTATTTCTGGTGCTGTTGCTGGTGCTATGTGACTAACAATCACCATCAGCAGACCCACAAAAAACAGCACCCGGTAAATGCTAAGCTGATAAAATTGCCTAGGAGTCCTGGTGCTATTGTTTGTGCTATTTCTGGTGCTATTTTTTGTGCTATTTCTGGTGCTATTTTTTGTGCTATTGTTTGTGCTATTTCTGGTGCTATTTCTGGTGCTGTTGTTGGTGCTATGTGACTAACAGTCACCACCAGCAGACCCACAAAAATAAGCACCCGGTAAATGCTAAAATTGACTGGGATTCCTGGTGCTATTTTTGGCCTGTGTGTTATAAGGCCACGGCGTTATTTGACTGTTAGTGTGGACCGGCCGAACCCAACCCCAAATCCTAAACTTAAACCCTAAACCTAAACCCTCAACCCTAAACCCCGCACCCAAAAAAAACAGACTACGTACCCCAAGGAGCTTCCCAAACAAAGCGCCCCAAGCTCCCCAAACCGGGACCCGACAGCTTTAGGGTTTAGGGTTTAGGGTTTAGGGTTTAGGGGCAAGGGCTCAGAGATGGGTCGCCGCAGCGGTCCTCGATTCCCAAAAAGCGGTCTCCGGGCCGAAGGCATTTAGGGCTAGGGTTTAGGGTTTAGGGTTTACGGTTTAGGGTTTAGGGTTTAGGATTTCCTTGAATTAGGGTTTAGGGTTTAAGGATTAGGGTCTAAGGGTTCCGGAAGTTCAGGGTAATATTATCGGGGTCAGAATAATTACTAATAGTATTTTCCTAGGGTCCCTTTACAATTATGCCATCAAAACCCCCAAAACCCTATTCCAATTACTCAGGCCCTAGCCCTAAACCCTAAAACCTAAATCCCTAACCCCCCCAAATCCTAGCCCTTCCATTAGGTTTCAAGGATGAGGGCTGATGGGTTCAGGGTTTTGGCTTCAAGTCAAGGTTACTTTATCTTGGCCACTTGAGCAAGGGCTTCAAGCTAGCTCCAGGGTGCTGGGTTTAGGGTTTAGGGCTTAGGGTTTAGGGTTTCGGGTTTAGGGTTTGGGGTTTAGGGTTTAGGGTTTAGGGTTAGTAAGGCTCTAGGGGGAGTCCTGGGTGTGTTCCTGTCGGAGTCCTTCGCAGGAGCGCTCCGAGCCGGAGAACTTTCCGGGCGTGGTGGGTTCAAGTGTCTGAGGGCAGTTTCATGGGCCCTGAACTCGGTAGGCCCAAACCCTAAGACCCTAAACACTAAACCCTACACCCGAAACCCTAACCTCTAATTACCCTTATGGGAGTTTAAGAGGGCTATATTTAGGAATCTTTTGCTGATAAAGCTTTGAGGCCCCTTGTGGCACAGGACGCTGTGATGCATGAGCTTCTGGAAGCCTTGACAGGGGCCGAAGGGTTTAGGGTTTAGGGTTTAGGGTTTAGGGTTTAGGGTTTAGGGTTTAGGGTTTAGGGTTTAGGGTTACAGGTCTAGAATATGGCTCCTGTTGGGGACCCTCCGAAGCACGTCCTAAGTTTTTGCCAAGGCGCAGCTCAAGGGAGTTGCGATTGCGGGGCTGGCTCCGTCGTTGCTACGAAGGGTTTAAGGCTTAGTAGGGGTAGGTTTGAACACATGTTTTAAAGTTTATGATCCTTACTCCCCTACATAAGCCTTATCAAACCTAAGCCATAAACATTTAGTTTTTATAGGGCCCTTAAACCTGCTCTGGGTCGTCCGGGCTGAGAATTTGGCCTCGGGCACACGAGATAGAAAGGCTGCTTAACACGCCCGAGAGCTCATCTTGCACCGCATACCTTCCGACGAGTTTGGGGGTTTTAGGGGTTTTAGGGGTTTTAGGGGTTTTAGGGGTTTTAGGGGTTTTAGGGTTTTAGGGGTTTTAGGGGTTTTAGAGGGTTTTAGGGGTTTTAGGGGTTCTAGAGTTCAGGGAGTTCGGCCCTCAACTCTGGCAAGACGGTTCCAGCCCCCGCCGTGGCCGGAGGTCGAAGCATCCCGGCCCGGAGCACCACTTTGCTTAGATTATTTATTTATTTATTTATTTATTTATTTATTTATTTATTTGTTTATTTATTTATTTATTGCTATTATCTTCTTATTATTAATCTGATTATCATTATTTGTCTATTTGTCTATTTAAGTTAGCTATATTGATATTAAAGGAATAGAATTAAGTAGATAATCCTGATATTTAATGAACGGAATGAAGTATACCATGTTAATATTAAATGAATATAATGAAGTACATAGTACTGACAATAAATGAATATAATGAAGTATATGATATTGGGCAGCTGCAACAGCAAAGCAAGAGACATTGTAAGAAAGGCTAGTGCATTTCTACCAACCCCTGGTTGAGTGCTCGGGGTTTAGGCTTTAGGGTTTAGGGTTTAGGGTTTAGGGTTTAGGGTTTCGGGTTTAGCCTGAACCCTAATGATCCCTACCCCCTATCAACCTGCTATAGGCCGGTACACTTAACAACTCATTGAAGCCCAACTTAGACACAAACCCCCTACGAACCCTGTGTAAATACAAGAACTTTCAAGAGGCTCTGATTCTGCCGCTCCAAACCCTGGGAAAGAATCAGCAAGGCTCAATTCTGGGTTGAGTCGGCAGCGCCGTAGGCACCCCGCAACCCTGAATCCTGCGGGTCTAGGGTTGAGGTTTGGGGTTTAAGATTTTCGGTTTAGGGTGTAGGAGTTACGGGGTTTAGGGTTTACGGTTTAGTCGAGGGCTTCGGGCGCACTAAAGCCTTACTCTAACCCTTCCAATACCAAACTCGTAAGTGATAAAACACAATACCACACACACACACACACTCTTTCTTTCTCTTCTCTTCTCTCTCTCTCTCTCTGTCTCTCTCTCTCTCTCTGTTTCTCTCTCTCTCTCTCTCTCTCTCTGCGGCTCGCTCTCTACTTCTGTCACTTGTTAAACCCTAACTACCCTAAACCCCCGAAAGCCCGGACGCCGCGGTGGCCACCAGAGCCCTCAGGGGGGCCAAGAGGTAGGTGGGGCTTTTAGGGTTTGCCCGTCCGATTCGGACGTATAGTTTAAATTATAGCCCTAAACCCTAAACCCTAAACCCTAAAACCCTAAACCCAAGATAAAAGGGTTCATAACAGGAATTTTGGGTTGAGGAGGCAGGGCTTACAGTTTTTACAGTCCAGGCGTGTTGGATTCCCAACCGAGCTCTCTTTGTCTCCGTCTCCGGCTCTCCCTTCTCTGTCTCTCTCTGTGCCAAGCGATGCAGCGTAAGTAAAAGTTAGGGAGCTCATGGGTGTTGCCAAACCGCCCCTGAACCCGAAACCCTAAACCCTAAACCCTCAACCCTCAACCCTCAACCCTAAACCCTAAACCCTAAACCCTAAGCCCTACACAGCCTAACGAACATCGGATAAACATCCGTGTTCCACGCGATTTTGCATGTTGTCCGGAGCCCAGCGAAGGCTGTGGGAAGCTGGACGCAACACCACAAGGTGACTTCGATCAGTAGGCCCTAAACCCTAAACCCTGAACCCTGAACCCTGAGCCCGAAGAGTAACGCCCCTCATCGTCGTTGGATGACAGGGCATGTAGTTTCATTGATCGGAAGGCTGCTGGTGTGTCCAAACCCTTAGTTAACCTGCTGCATGGTTGATCCCTAAACCTTGAACCCGAAACCCCTAAACCCGGAACTTCAAACCCGAAACCCCAGATGCCTGCTGAGCCTACTTCAGAAGTTCCCTCTCTTTGAGCAGGAGACTCACACGTCCATTGCCAAACATACCCTGGGTGCGATTCCGTATCACCTGTGCAGCAGAAAATGTGCCCGGTGCGCTTGAAACCGGAGTTTAGGGTTTAGGGCTTTGGGGTTTTGGGGTTTTGGGGTGTTAGGGTTCAGGAACTTCAAATAGGCCGGGTAGGGGTCCCAAAAAGTTTTGCGGGGGGTTGGGGGGGAGGGGGGGGGGGTGGGGGGGGGTTGGGGGGGGTTGGGGGGGGGTTGGGGGGGGGGGGGGTGGGGGGGGGGGGGGGGGGGCGTGGGGGGGGGGGGGTGGGGGGGGGGGGGGGTGGGGGGGGGGGGGGGGGGGGTGCCCTAAACCCTAAACCCAAGAAAATAAGCTCTAAAAACTCTGCACTAAACCCTAAAGCCTAAAACCCTGAACCCTAAACCCTTTGGGCCACACAAGGGTAGGGCTATATGAAGTGGCGGGGGAAAATGCCACGCAAGCCTCTCCGTGAAAATCGCTGGCGACTGAGCTCTCGGACTTGGGTCCGAAGCTCGAACCCCGCGAAACCCTCCAATGCACCTTTTTTTCTAGGGTCTAGGGTCGAGGATTTAGGGTTTAACGGGTTAAGGGTTTAAAGGGTTATTAAAGGGTTTAGGGTTTAAAGGGGCTTAAGGCTTAGGGTGTTAGGGCATCTGTCGAGGAGACAGGGAGTTGGAGAGATCACGCATCCTGCGCCGCCTCAGCACGTCTTCGAAAGCCTGTGAGAGACCCGAGATCCCAAGAGGGTGTCGAGCCCTAAACCTTAGTTCAGGGTTTAGGGTTTAGGTCTTGGGTTTTAGGGTTTCACGTCGAGGGTTCGTCCGAACCCTAGACCCACAACCCTACGACTCAGCCCAGGCCCCAAGGGCTCACTGTCAACCCCCCTAAACCCTAAACCCTAAACCCTAAACCCTAAACCCTAAACCCTAAACCCTAAACCCTAAACCCTAAACCCTAAACCCTAAACCCTAAACCTACACTCTTCAACACTCAGGGTTTTCTTGCTTACCTGGACCCTGATCTGCAGTTCCACTTTCTGGGTGCTCTGATAAGACCACTTGGCCCTAAACCGTAAACCCTAAACCCTTAAACCATTAAACCCCTAAACCCCTCAACCCCTAAACCCCTAAACCCCTAAACCCCTAAACCCCTAAACCCCTAAACCCCTAAACCCCTAAACCCCTAAACCCCTAAACCCCTAAACCCCTAAACCCCTAAACCCCTAACCCTGAACCCTAAACCCTAACCCTAAGCCCTAAGCCCTAACAAACCCTACACCCTAACCCCCGCAAGCAAGGAACTGAAATCTAAACCCTAAACCCGCAAGCAAGGAACTGCAATCGAGGGTCCAGGTAGCCTCCAAAAACCCTAAACCCTAAACCCTAAACCCTAAACCCTACACCCTAACCCCCACAATCCTTCCCAAAATGGCGCACGGCCTTGCGGACTACTATGGCCTCTTTGCGGTGGCACGGCCTTTGTTGAGGGTTAAGGTTTCGGGTTTAGGGTTTAGGGATTGGGGTTAAGGGTTATGGGGTTTAGGGTTTGGGGTTTAGGGTTTAGGGTTTAGGGACTGGGGTTCAGGGTTATTGGTTTAGGGTTTAGGTGTTTAGGGTTTAGGGTTTAGGATTTAGGGTTTAGGGTTTAGGGTTTAGGGTTGGAGGGCATACCGGCAGACCCCAGACCACAGCCATTTACTCGTAGGACCCAGAGCAGGCCCTTAACTATTCCCTTTTTTCAGGGTTTGGGTTCGCTCATAAGCCCCTTCAAGCCAAAAAAGGGCTCCTAGGTGTTGGGTCTACCCCTAAATACCCTAAATACCCCAAACCCTACTCCCTACTCCCTACTCCCTACTCCCTAAACCCTAAACCCTAAACCTTAAACCCTAAACCCTAAACCCTAAACCCTAAACCCTAAACCCTAAACCCTAAGCCTAGACCCATTACACATGGAAGCCCACTTGGGACTGCCTGTGTGCCTCCAAGTCTTTGCACGGGACTCGGGTTTCGGGTTTCGGGTTTAGGGTTTAGGGTTTAGGGTTTAGGGTGAATGTTCTAGTCTTGATACCCCCCCCCCCCCCCCACAAAGGGTACCCCCACTAGGGGAAACCTAAACCCTGGACGGTTTAGGGTTTAGGGTCTAGGGTCTAGGGTTTAGGGTTTAGGGTGCCGGACAAGCTTGCGAAAGAAAGGTGGATCGGGAAAGCGACCAAGACACCATCAAGAAGGTTTACAGGACGAATTTCCTACAACCTGAACCCCAAGGGCTTCAGGGCGTAGGGTATAGGGTTTAGGGCGGATGTTCCTGCCAGAACCTACGTCTTGGTAGGTCTGTATGTTTCAGGAAGGTTGTGGTAAACCCCGCCTAAACCTTTGAAGAGTGATGCCGTGTTTTTTTCCTTTTCGTTTGGGGGAGGTGTCAGGGGGTTTGCCCCAAACACGCCCTAAACTCTGAACCCTAAGTTTATGGTTTAGGGCTTAGGGCTTCGGGCTTATTGTCTCCAGGGACCCTCCGAACCCTAAAACCCCAAAACCCTAAAAACCTAAACCCTAAACCCTCTAAACCCTTTGGGGGGGGGGGGGGGGGTTGTAGAGTTAGGGCCTTCGGGCTGAGGGCTTAGAATTCCAAAATCCCAACTTCTGACACCCTAAACTGTAAACCTAAACCCTTAAGCCCTTAAGCCCTTAAGCCTTTAAGCCTTTAAGCCCTTAAGCCCTTAAGCCCTTAAGCCCTTAAGCCCTTAAGCCCTTAAGCCCTTCAGCCCTTCAGCCCTTAAGCCCTCAAGCCCTCAAGCCCTGAAGCCCTTAAGCCCTTAGCGCTAAGCCGCTAAGCCCTTAAACTCTTAAACCCTAACCCCCCAAAACAATCGCAGGAAGCTGGTCCTGCAGTGGCACCCGGACAAGCATCCCCAGAACCGGGAGGTCTTGTAGGGGTTTAGGGGTTTAGGGGTTTTTAGGGGGTTTTTAGGGGTTTTTAGTGGTTTTTAGGTGTTTTTAGGGGTTTTTGGTTTTTTTTTTAGGTGTTTTTTGTTGTTTTTTTTTTTTTTTTTGTTTTTGGTTTGTTTGTGGTTTTTGGGGGGCTTTTTTGGTGTTTTTTGGTGTTTTTGGGGGTTTAGGGGTTTAGGGGTTTAGGGGTTTAGGGGTTCAGGGGTTCAGGGGTTCAGGGGTTCAGGGGTTCAGGGGTTCAGGGGTTTGGGGTTTCGGGGTTTAGGAGTTTGGGGGTTTGGGGTTTGGGGTTTCGGGGTTTCGGGGTTTAGGGGTTGAGGGGTTTAGGGGTTCAGGGGTTTAGGGTTTAGGGCTTGAGGGGCTGAGAGGTTGAGCGGTTTACAGTAGGGGATGAGGGGTTTAGGGTTTAAGGTCTAGGCTTGAGGGATTAGGGGTTGGTTGTTTTTGGGAGGGAGCTTTCAGGATCTGAGCCCTCCTGGCTTGCGGGTTGATGGTTTGGAGGGGGCCCTAATCCCTAAACCCTAAACCCGAAGTTTCACCCTGGGCGAGGTACGGCCCGGTTACCAATACCACCCCTGTGCTACCAAGCAGTTCCACGGCCTTGGCAGCACGTCATGGTGGTGCTCGCCGCACAAGCGGTGGAAGACACAGATATCGTCCAGCTCGAAGCGCGAGGGGAGCTCTTTCTGGACCTGGAAGTGGCGGAGTCCCATCCTTGGAGTGCGCAATGCGCGCTTGACAGATATGAGAAGTGCAAGATCACAACGGCCGGCCACTACCACAGGATACTGCCCCGGGCTTCAGTCAGTTTGTTTGTTGATGGTCTCCGGCCACTGGCCAACTGTCTTCGGTCACCGGCCAAACACGAAACGATTATGTTTGTATTGCCGTCTATCCGGATTTAAGTGTGGCAACAAGTAACGCCCGGCAGGGTGGAGAAACTACTGTTACTTGACCACACGCGGCTCCCTGCCAAACATAACTGGTCACTGCCACTGGCAACAGGAATCCTGGCCACGTGCCTGAAGTTAGACTTGAACGCATTCTTGATGAATGTCATCATACGATTGCAAATATTATATTCTTGTCTTATAAGACATTGTTAGTTTCTTGGATAGGCTCCTAAACCCTAAACCCTAAACCCTAAACCCTAAACCCTAAACCCTAAACCCTAAACGAGTTCAGATTTTGAGGGTCTAGGGCCGGGGTCAGCGCTCCAAGCACCTCGTACCTGGGACAACAGCCATCTTCCGAGACCATGTCGGGTTCGGCCATTGGAGGTTCAAGCTCGGCTGAGGGTTTAGGGTTTAGTGTTTAGGGTTTAGGGTTTCGGGTTTAGGGTTTAGGGTTTAGGGTTTAGGGGTCAGGGCTCAAGGGTTTCAGGAGGTTCGGGGGGGTTGAGGGTTGAGGGTTTCGTGTCTTCTGGGTTTGGAGACCTGTGTTTTCGGGCAGGCTGCCGAGGAGAAGATCCGCGAGATCAACGACGCCTACGAAACTCTGAGCAATCCGCCTCTTGTCTGGAGCAAGAGCCCTAAACCGTAGACCCTAGACCCTAGACCCTAAACCCTAAACCCTAATTCCTAAACCCTAAACCCTAAACCCTAAACCCTAAACCCTAAACCCTAAACCCTAAACCCTAAACCCTAAACCCTAAACCCTAAACCCTAAACCCTAACCCTAAACCCCCAAGTCCGAAAACCCGGAGTGCCTAAGCCCCTACGCCCTAAGCCCTAGGCTCTCTTGCCGCGGTGCAGACAGCTGAAAGCCCTAATCCCTGAACCTTCGCTAGCAAGGGAGATGGGTTTAGGGTTTAGGGTTTAGGGTTTAGGGTTTAGGGTTTAGGGTTTAGGGTTTAGGGTTTAGGGTTTAGGGTTTAGGGTTTAGGGTTTAGGGTTTAGGGTTTAGGGTTTAGGGGTACCCTGTTTCAAGGCACTGTACAGTACAAGGCCACTCTAGGTAAACCCACAAGCCTAGGTTCAAGCGATCGCAGTATGACAACATGCTCATCGCCTTGGAGCGGAAGGCTGGTCTTGTGGGGTTTAGGGTTTAGGGTTTAGGGTTTAGGGTTTAGGGTTTAGGATTTAGGGTTTAGGGTTCAGGGTGTGCGAGGCCAAAGGGCCCTTCAATCGGGTGTGGGCTTATACGGTTTTTAGTGGGTGTAAAGACCCTAAACCCAAACCCTGAACCCTGAACCCTAAACCCTAAACCCTAAACCCTAAACCCTAAACCCTAAACCCTAAACCCTAAACCCTAAACCCTAGACCCTAGACCCTAGACCCTAGACCCTAGACCCTAGACCCTAAACCTCTCTATCTTAGGGTATTTAAACCCTAACTCAAAAGTCGGCAACGGGAAGTTTTCGGCCTCAAAAGTCGGCAACGGGAAGTTTTCGGGGCCTCAAAAGTCGGCAACGGGAAGTTTTCGGCCTCAAAAGTCGGCAACGGTGAATTTCCGGGGCCCCAAAAGTCGGCAACGGGAAGTTTTCGGGGCCTCAAAAGTCGGCAACGGGAAGTTTTCGGCCTCAAAAGTCGGCAACGGTGAATTTCGGGGCCCCGAAAGTCGGCAACGGGAAGTTTTCGGCCTCAAAAGTCGGCAACATTTCGGGGCCCCAAAAGTCGGCAACGGGAAGTTTTCGGCCTCAAAAGTCGGCAACGGGAAGTTTTCGGGCCTCAAAAAGTCGGCAACGGTGAATTTCGGGGCCCCGAAAGTCGGCAACGGGAAGTTTTCGGGGCCTCAAAAGTCGGCAACGGGAAGTTTTCGCGGCCTCAAAAGTCGGCAACGGGAAGTTTTCGGGCCCCAAAAGTCGGCAACGGGAAGTTTTCGGCCTCAAAAGTCGGCAACGGGAAGTTTTCGCGGCCTCAAAAGTCGGCAACGGGAAGTTTTCGGCCTCAAAAGTCGGCAACGTGAATTTCGGGGCCCCAAAAGTCGGCAACGGTGAATTCGGGGCCTCAAAAGTCGGCCAAAAGTCGGCAACGGTGAATTTCGGGTCTCAAAAGTCGGCAACGAATTTCGGCCCCCCCCCACCCCCCCACCCCCCCAACCCCCCCACCCCCCCCCCCACCCCCTCCCCCACCAGGGGACCCCAGGATCGGCCCGGCCCCTATTAAAAATGCGATTTTTTAGTACTGAAATCGACGGTTCTGGGTGGCCTCTCGTTTTCTGGATTTTTGACCAAAACCGAGCCTTCACCGATAGGGGCTTCTAAACCGTAGGGTTTAGGGCCCTAAGAGCATAAAGGGCCTATTGTGGGCCTTAAATTAGATTTCGGGTTTTGGGTCCGTTAAAAACTAACTACTGGGAATGTATTGAGTGAACTTTGTATTTTCTCAATGTTATGGGTTTCTTGGGTGGGTGGGTTTTTTTCCAACGCTTGACAAGCTGCTTGACTAGTGAATGCTTGGACTTGAGATGCTGAACCCTAAACCCAAACCCTAAACTGATGTTCACCCAAAGCCCTCTTTGGGTTCAGGGATGATTTTTTTCTTTTTCCGGGAGTCTGGGTATTTGTCCAGGGGTTCAGCCCTGTCCGCGGCCCCCAAACCCCGGTTCAAGCCCGCGTACATATGGGAATCAGGCAGGGTTTGGGGTTTCGGGTTCAGGGTTTAGGGTTCAGTGTTTAGGGTTCAGGGTTTTGGGGCGTTTTAGGGCTACAAAGCCTAAAGCTCTAAGGCTAGATACCCAAAACCTTGTAGTTAGGCGTCACGTGCTCTGGGACCCCATAAATTCGTACCTTGAAGCCCCAGCACTAAACCCTAAACCCTTTCAATCCCTGAACACTGCATCTTCAACTGCCCTGACGCTGGAAGCCCGAAACCCACCCCAAAAACCCAAACCGCGCCGTGCTATACCCTAACCCCTAAACCCTCAACCCTAAACCCTAAGCCCTAAACCCCTAAACCCCTAAACCCCTAAACCCCTAAACCCCTAAACCCCTAAACCCCTAAACCTTAAAACCCTAATCCCAGAAGGGCACCCTTTGTGTCGCAGGCCAAAGGCTTTCGCCTTGACACCACGATGATCAAGCCTCGAATGCGGGGTTCGCAGGGGGTTTAGGGTTTAGGGTTTGGGGTTTGGGGTTTGGGGTTTGGGGTTTAGGGTTTAGGGTTTAGGGTTTAGGGTGATCACCCTCTACCCCATCATGCAGCGACCCAACTGTCCTACTTTGGCTTCAGGTTCAGGTTGATAGGGTTTAGGGTTGAGAGGCTACTTGGAGGCTTATGGGTTGTTTTGGATCGCCTAATAGCTGCAAACTCTTATGAGCTCTTTCGAGCAGTTGCTCAGAACGCTACTTCTGAATCTGACTGATCTGACTACCCTGATACCCCCAAAGCCCTGTAAGCCCTAAGCCTAAAAGCGCCAAAGGCCCCATAAGCCCGTAAGCCCAGAAACCCTTCAAACTCTACACACCCTATAAACCCTATAAACCCTATAAACCCTATAAACCCTATAAGCCCTATGAACCCTATGAACCCTATGAACCCTTTAAAGCCCTCTAAGCCCTCTAACCCCCCAAAACCCTACACCCTGAAGCCTTGTGTAGGGCCTTATGGGCCCGAGCGGCGGTTACACCTCATCAAGCCCCACAAGCCTTTGCAAGCCCTAGAACTACTATTTGCTTAAGAAGCCCAAAAGAACACAAAATGATAGTACCTATATTCCCTTTATAAGGAAGAGTATTATTTCTTTTTTTTTGGGGGAGGGGGGGGTTCTTAAGCAATGAGTGGATCAAATATGAAGAACAGGTCTTCACAAGCCCTACATGCCCTATATGCCCTGTGAGCTGGAGAGGGTGCAGGGTTCAGGGTTTAGGGTTTAGAGTTTGGGGTTTAAGGTTTAGGGCTTCGGGTTCTTCGAAGCCCCAAAAACCACGCTCAGGTCCATCCCCAAGGAGTTCATGCTGTCCCCTCTTGGCTACCCAGACAAGCCACGGCCCCAGGTGTTGGACCCCGCGTTTTATGTAGGGCGTATGGGTTGAAAGTTTAGGGTTTAGGGTTTAGGCTTAGGGTTCGGACACTAATATGTAGGGCTTAAAGGCTTAAAGGTTTAGGGTTTAGGGTTTGGAGTTCTCTAGGGTGCTTTGGTGGTAGCCCAGTGATACCCTTTTACCTGTTGTTTTTGCAAGGTTCCCTTGGAGCCAACCGACCCCAAAAAGGGATCCTTATTAGAAGATGGTTGCCGGGGCACCACGTGGGGCTAGTCGGGGCATTTGCTGTACTACTATTTGCTTCAGAACGCCCACCCCCCAAAGAAAGATAATAATCCCTATCTTGCTCTTAGAAGGAAGAAGTTGTTTTTTTCTTCGGGGGGGGGGGGGGGGGGGGGGGGGGGGGGGCAGGGGTTCTTAAGCACATAGTACTGTAGTGTGAAGGTTTGGGCCCCCCGAGATTTCGACCATTTAAGCGCGAGGCCATTGTCGGGTTTGGGGGTTGCAGGTGGCATCTACTTGCTGGTCCATGGTTATACTTCGGGCTTCAGTTTAGATTTAGGGCTTAGGGCTTGGCGCTTCTTAGGGTTTGGCATTTCTAGGATGCTCATCATGCAACTTGTGAGCCTTCAATCAGGATGCAGGATTATTTTGATTTCGATTTCTGGGAGGATGCAGACAGCAGAGGCTCCGAACTCGGCACCCTCAACCTTCATCCCTGTGTTGTGGGTACATGAGGGTACTCTTTATCGCGGAAGGTCTCAGCATGTTGAGATGCCCTTAGGTGGATAAATGGACAGGTCGCCCGGAGTCCTTGCCATATTGCCCTCAAAGCCTACACCCCAATCGTCAGAACAGTAGTGAGCGTATAAACTCCGGGGCTCGCAAGGATTAGTTATGCCATGTGCCTGTGCGGTTGGAGACTCGTCCACCACAGCATTTGAACGTTTAAGTTTTCCCCCTTTCCTCTGCGAAGCAGTGGCTAGGAGGCCTGAGGCAGCAGCATGTCATTCCTGATTGAGGTGAGCCTGCTCTCTGGCAGGACCGTTTCACTGGAAGCCGGCCCGGGTGAGGCCGTTGACAGTCTCTTGGCTTTCTTCTGGTTGGCTCTTAGGATTTTAATCTTTTGGGTTTTTGTAGAAACTACAATACGGAGCCAAAAGTTAAACCCAACCCTAAACCCTAGACCCTAGACCCTAAACCCTAAACCCTAAACCCTAAACTTTTTAGGAGGGGTTCAGAAGTCAGCCAAGGTCTAAAGAGCAGAGCGCAGGAGGCTCTGGCAGTTGGCCGAGGCAGACTCCGGCACTCCGCCAAAGGCGTAGCTTAGGGATACTTGGGAATAGTTTCCCCCAAGACTACTGGGCAGCCTAGAAAAAACCCGAAGCCCTAAACCTGAAACTTAGGGATTCTGGGGGAATAATTTTGAGTTTTTGGGTGCTTCAATTCCTAAGAAACAGCAACAGTTTTGATTTTTGCCAGTGTTCCAAGTTCTGTACAGGTATTGCGGGGAGCAGCCACGCTTGAGGAGTCTGGGCTGCAAAGTGGCGATGTACTGACCTTGCAGCTGCGCAGCGTTCAGGTTTGCGGCAGCAAAACCGCTTTTGCGGCCATTCTGGGCGATGAGTCTGCTGCGAGCAAGGGCAGTGCTCCTTTTGGTGGCGACAGCAGTGCTGTTCAAGGTCGACTGCAGGAAGTGAAACAGATCCAAGCTACCGGCATGGCCTTTGCTGCCATTCTCGCGAATGGGTCTCTAGGTAGGCCCTTGGAATATTTTATATTTTCCCTTTTTGAGTTTAAGAGGGTCATGTTTAGGAATATTTTTCCGAGGGTTTTAAAGGCCATCCTAGGTCTGTTGTGAGCTGGGGCCATGGAGAAGGTGGTGGCGACAGCAGTGCCGTGCAAGGTCAGCTCAGGGACGTGCAGCAGATCCAGGCAACTCAAAATGCTTTTGCTGCCATTCTGGCTGATGGCTCTGTTGTGACCTGGGGCGATGCTGCGTATGGTGGCGACAGCAGTGCGGTTCAACAGCAGCTGAGAGATGTGCAGCAGATCCGAGCTACCGACCCAGCTTTTGCTGCCATTCTGAGCGATGGGTCTGTTGTGAGCTGGGGCGTTGCTGAGGAGGGTGGCGACAGCAGCGCCGTGCAAGGTCAGCTGCAGGACGTGAGGCAGATCCAAGCGACCAGGAGGGCATTTGCTGCCATTCTGGCTGATGGCTCTGTCGTGACCTGGGGCCGTGGGCAGAGTGGTGGCGACAGCAGTGCTGTGCAAGATCGGCTGAAAGGTGTGCAGAAGATCCAAGCATCCGGCGATGCTTTTGCTGCCGTTCTGGGCACTGGGTCTGTTGTGACCTGGGGCAATGCTAGGTATGGTGGTGACAGTAGCGCTGTGCAAGGTAAGCTGAAGGATGTGCAGCTGATCCAAGCATCTGTATTTGCTTTTGCTGCCATTCTGCGCGATGGGTCGGTTGTGACCTGGGGTTCTGTTTCTGGTCGGCTTGGCAGAAAGGTCGACATACAAGATGGGATGACGGACGTGCAGAACATCCAAGCGTCTGGCAGCGCTTTTGCTGCCATTCTGAGCGATGGGTCTGTGGTAACCTGGGGCAATGCTGACAATGGCGGCGACAGCAGTGCCGTGCAAGGTCAGCTCAGGGACGTGCAGCAGATCCAAGCAACTCAAAACGCTTTTGCTGCCATTCTGGCTGATGGCTCTGTTGTGACCTGGGGCCGTGGTCAGTGTGGTGGCGACAGCAGTGCTGTGCAACATCAGTTGAAGGGCGTACAGGGGATCCAAGCATGTGATTTCGCTTTTGCAGCCATTCTGGCTGATGGCTCTGTTGTGACCTGGGGAGGCACAAGCATCCCAGATTTTGTACATTCTTGGTCTTTGCCTGAAGCTTGCTAGGACCCAGAGTAGGCCTGCTCCTTATCAACCACAAAGGGCACCCTTACTTTTTGCCTAGGTTACTCTTGGGTCTAGCTTGCGTATCTCCACCCTTGGCCAGGTTCAGCCTGGTCAAGCCCAGAGCAAGGAAAGAGCTTTTTGCTGGAAGTCAAAAAATGGGTGGTTCCCAAAAAATCGGGGTACCCTTTGAAAGGGGTCCCTCAAAAAGGATTCTACTCTATTCGGGGTGTAAACGGGGTACCCTATTTAATCGGAAACCCCCCCAAAAGGACAGCCGATGCATCCCCCGAGGCCCAAACCCTAAGAGTCCTAAGAGCCTCAACGCTGACGACATGTATGAGCCAGCGACCTAGCCACCATACAAGAGTTTTTCAGCATGTTTAAAACTGGTTTACTTAGGGATATTTGAAAATAGTTTTAATTTTTTGGGTACTTCAATTCCTAAGAACCAGCAAAAATTGTTATTTTGTTGCTAGGGTTCCAAGTCCAGTATAGAAACATCTTGCTCGAAAATAAGACTTTCGCCTGGGCGACTGTTCGTACTACCAGCGCGTCCGCCCAGCAGAGGTTGCGTTCGTGCTACTACGCATCGACCCGCCAGAGCATGCACGCAGGACTTAGTAGCTGAATGAGCACTCTTTACAGTTTGGGATACTAGAATCCCCTATAGAACTGAAAGTGTACACTTTCGGGGTCTTATGAACTCAGCAACTAAGCTTCCATTAACCTGTTTCAATTTTTCGTTTCCGCAGCGTTGCTTCGAAATGAGTGTTTCGCCTAGGCGTCCTGTGTGGTTCCTACAAGGAAGACCCTACCAGGAGCCCACTAGAGTAGGATACTATAGGCGCCTAAAAAATTAGACTAAGGTTTTTGGGGTCGCTATAGTCTGTGTTATCAAGGAACCAGAAGGGAAGACCGTTAGCAATTATTCCGACCCCTATATTACAGTCCCGTACCGCTGCCCCCCCCCCCCCCACACACCCTCAAAGGGTCCTCATGGCAAACACCTTTTTCGTGCTGAGATCATGAGATCACTCATCACCCCCCAAACCCAGCCCAACACAAGATCTGCACGGTGCATACCTAAACCCTACACCCTCAGCCCGAAGCCCTAAACCCTAAATCCGAAACCCTAAGCCCTAAACCCCAAGCCCTAAGCCCTAAATCCGAAACCCTAAGCCCTAAACCCCAAGCCCTAAGCCCTAAGCCCTAAGCCCTAAGCCCTAAGCCCTAAGCCCTAAGCCCTAAGCCCTAAGCCCTAAGCCCTAAGCCCTAAGCCCTAAGCCCTAAGCCCTAAGCCAGCAGGTTTGTCCGGGTGGTGGGCTTGTCCCTCTTCGTGCCGGGGGCCCCAGATCTGGCGTGAAGCTCCTTTGGGTTTAGGGTTTAGGGTTTGGGGTTTGGGGTTTAGGGTTTAGGGTTTGGGGTTTAGGGTTTAGGGTTTAGGGTTCGTACTTAGCCAACAGCTGAACTTTAAACCTTGTTGGGTTTCCTTATTTAGTAGGAATGCTAAAGCTTCACTTACCCTAAACCCCAAACCCTAAACCCTAAACCCTAAACCCCTGAAGCCCTCTGAGGCAGGGAAGAGCTGATGCTAAAGCGGAGTTCTACGACTTCTTCAAGGAGGCTGCCGGGCTCAGGAAGTTTAGGGTTTAGGGTTTAGGGTTTAGGGTTTAGGGTTTAGGGTTCAGGGTTTAGGGTTTAGGGTTTAGGGTTTAGGGTTTAGGGTTTAGGGCTCAGGAAGTTCAGCGTTTGGGGAGAGTTTAGGACTTCAGGGCTTTCGGGAGTTTAGGGAGATTAGGAAGTTTAGGGTTCAGAAACCCATCCTTCCTTGCACACTCTTATTTGTAGTATGGTTTCGCGCCGCACTCAGAAGTAGGGAAGCTTCTCTTAAACCCAGCCTAATAACAGTATCATCCTGGAAAAGCCGTGTCAAGAAGTAAAAAGGACTCATGACACAGGGATCTCCATGCCCTTGAGACCCAACCTCTGTTTCCAAGCCACTAAGAACCCACGGCTCGCCAGTTGCAAAGGGGTATGACGAGGGACCCCTAGAAGGGACCGCTCATCTTATTCCTCTATTTCACCCCTATGTACCCCTGTATGTACCTTTTCTAATCCTTATATACCTCCTAAAAAACCCCCTGAGGTCCCTCATAAGGGTCCCTCCTTTAGTCCCTTGCTACCAGCACAGTGAGACTGATCTAGACCTTAAGACCCTTGCATCTAGCTCTTGTTCGAAGAGACACCGCCCCTAAACCCTGAACCTGAACCCTAAGGCCCTAAACCCTAGGCCCTGAACCGTAAACCCTAAACCCTAATCCCTGTCAGTCCTACCTTTAGAACTCCAGTATCCAGCTCATGGCTGGCGAACCTTGAACTCTGCGAAGTTCTCAACTTCAAGGGGCTAAAGGAGGGACCGTTATGAGGTATCTGCGGTCCCTGGGCATGGTTCCTTACCCTCTTTAAAAGGGTTGTGAAGTATGGGCCCTTGGGTTGTATATAAGGGGTATTCAAGGGGTCCCAAGGGACTAAAGGAGGGACCCTGACAAGGGACCTTCGGGGTTCTTTGGGGGTTATTTAGACAAGGTGTATAGGGACCATTTTCAGATATGTTTTGGGGTATACAAGGGAACAAGATTAAGGCTCCCTTCTAGGGGTCCCTCCTTATACCCCTTCACAACTGTTAAGACAGGAGCCAGTATAACTCCTTGTAGTCCCTATATGTTCAGAAAAGAGCCTACCAAGCCCTAAGCCCTAAACCCTTAGCCTACTGACCCACACGAACTCTATATAGGTCCTTAAGCCCGAAACTCGAAACCCGAACCCCCTACAGCCCGAAGCCCCGAACTCTGAACACTATGGGGCCCCCTAAAAAGCCTAAGTTTTGGGTGTAGGGTTTAGGGTTTAGGGCTTAAGTTTCTGAAGCCCCGAAAGCCCCTAAACCCCAAACCCTAAACCCTAAAGCCTACTCACCCTAAACCCTAAACCCTAAACCCCAAACCCTAAACCCTAAAGCCTACTCACCCTAAACCCTAAACCCTAAACCCTAAACCCTAAACCCTAAACCCTAAACCCTAAACCCTAAACCCTAAACCCTAAACCCCAAACCCTCGAGCAGGCAAAGTTCTCCCTCTGGTGGCTCCCCGAAGTGAACAACATGTGCCGCATCCGACCGCAGGCGCCAGTGGGGGGTTTCCCAAATAGGGTTTAGGGTTTAGGGTTTAGGGTTTAGGGTTTAGGGTTTAGGGTTTAGGGTTTAGGGTTTAGGGTTTATACCCCCAAGTACTGTAATCCTTATTACAGAAACCCCCAGGAAGGGCACCCCTATTTGCGGAAGCCCCCAAGTGAACCGCTGCTGGTTGGTGTCTAGGGTTTATTGGGGGTTTTGAGTTTAGGGCTATTGGAGTTTAGGGTTTAGGGCTGTTGGGGTTCAGGGGGTTAGGGTTTAGGCACTGAAGTTCGGGTTTTAGCGTCGTCGGGCTCTTGTGATGTAAGGTTTTCGAGGACCCGGGACTCAGCAAGCCCTCGTTTGTGGCCGTAGGATACACAGAAAGGCTTGCTCAGAGCCCTATGTTCCACTATTTGCTTAAGAACCCCCCGAGAAATAGAAATCATTATCCCTATATTGCCCTTAGAAGGAATCATATTTGTTCTTTATTTTTGTGGCGGGGTTCTTCAGCAACCCTAAACCAACCCTAACCCTAAACCCTAAACCCTAAACCCTAGACCCTGAACCCTGAACCCTAAACCCTAAACCCTAAACCCTAAACCCTAAACCCCCTTTTTTGCGGGGAGGGGAGGGGGGGTTCTTAAGCATATAGTAGTTTAAGCCCGGCAGGCAACTGCGGGAGTCGGCCAAGATGGAGGCTTGCAAGCGCCATCACCATCTTGCTCTCTCTCCCTCTCTCTCTCGCTCGCTCGCGCGCGCTCGCTCCCCAAACCAACCCGGTTTAGGGTTTAGGGTTTGGGGTTTGGGGTTTGGGGTTTAGGGTTTAGGGTTTAGGGTTTAGGGTTTAGCGTTCAGGGTCCCAAACCTTAAACCCTGTAAGCCGTAAGCACTGCCCTAAATCCCTAAACCCTGAACCCTGACCCTAAACTCCAAACCCCAAATCGTAATCATTGACTCAAGCTCCTGGCTCATAGTGGACTTTAATGCTCAAGCTCCAAACTTAAAGAGCCCCAGGAAGACAATGCGGTTTAGGATTCTCTGGTTTCGTGGTTAGGGTTTAGGGTTCAGGGGCTTTCCCCCCAAAACAAGCCCGTGGAACTTATAAGGCAGCACAAATTGGCACCGAGCTGGGCTTTAGCGGTTTAGGTTTTAATCACCAAGAACGAAACCTCATAGTTGAGCTTTGCGCATCCGCTGTGATTCACAAATGAGGAACTTAGCCCCCAAACCCCCCCACCCGCCTCTCAAGAGAGGCAAAAAATGGGGGGTCAGACCATTCCAAAGCCCCTAACCCTAAGCCCGAAACCCTCAATCCCTAAACCCCAAACCCTGAACCCTGAGTCCCTGAACCCTGAACCCTGAACCCTGAACCCTGAACCCTGAACCCTGAACCCTGAACCCTAAACCCTAAACCCTAAACCCTAAACCCTAAACCCTAAACCCCAACCCTGAATCTCTAAACCCCGCCTTGGGCAAGGACTTAACTTCAACTTCGCCCTATCCCGGCAGATCCAGGTTTCAGAGGCCAGAAACAGGGATTTAGGGTTTAGGGTTTAGGGTTTAGGGTTTAGGGTTTAGGGTTTAGGGTTTAGGGTTTAGGGTTTAGGGTTTAGGGTTTAGGGTTTAGGGTTTAGGGTTTTAGGGTTTAGGGTTTGGGATTGAGGGTGTCGTGTTTAGGATTTAGGATTCAGGGTTTAGGGTTGTTCTAGATTCTGAGGGTTTCGGGTGTGGGGCTTAGGATTAAGCTGGTCCAGGGTTGAGGGTTTGCAGTATAGGGTTGCCCTTTTGGGTACTCTGACAAAACATGTTCGTAGGAAACAGAAGGGCCATGGTTTTGAATAACCCCCATCCCTAAACCCTAGGAAGGTTTTGGGAAGCCCAAAGATGGTCTAGGGTTTTGGGGTTAGAGTTTAGGGTTTGGGACTTGGGGTTTGGGGTTTAGGGTTTACGGTGGGTTCGCGCTTTGTGGGCTTTTGGTACCAGGTTTCAGTGCTTTGCGTCTGGGGTCCCAAGTACGGTTCAGGGGGGAACAGGACTTGAATCAAGGGTTTTAGCGTTTGGGCTGTAGGGTTTAGGTTAGGAGCCCCCTTGCATGTGCAATATGGAGTGTAGACGGCCGCTAAAGTTCGCCTTTTTATAGGAGCCAAAAGACTGTGAATAGCCGGTACGTTGCAAACTTGGATTGTTGGGTACATGAGGGATACCCCTAATTGTAGGACATACACGCATTCCCATGTCGTCGCATGATAGATCACAGCACGCTTCATGATGCCTCTTAGTTCGCAGCAGTGCCTTCTCATGCTCCCTACACCCCCCTTGGGAATTTTTTGCTGTTTACATAAAAACCAAGAGTAAAAAACAAAAAAAACTTACTATTTTTATTAAGGTTCGAAGGGGAGTATAGCTCTGTCTAGTGTCAGCTCTGCTGCTTGCAGGCCTTTTTTGGCTCATCCCATGCACTTCCGACACGGCTCATCCCTCGGATCCTTTCCCAGCAGGTCCTTGGGGTTTCATGCGGGGCTTTCGGAAGTCGCCCTGAATGACCCCGAAGTAGAACAAAGCAACCTGTCCTACTCTAGTGACTCTAGTGGATTTAAGAGCAGCAGGTTTAGTGAGGTTTTTCGTAGGTTTTAAGGAGCCAACTTTGAGTTTCGCAAGCTTCTCCCTAACCCTAAACCCTGAACCCTAAACCGGCAAGGGAGGCATTTGCATCCCACGCTTCCACGCCGCTGCCCCCTGACCGCCTGGAACCATGCAGGCGTGCGTGGGCTTGGGTGGGGTTTAGGGTTGTAGGTTCAGGTTTTGCAGTATTTGCACTAGGGATGAATCTCCAACAGCTCCGTGAACCCCCCAAAACCCCAACCCTGAGCCCCCAAACCCTATGACCGAAAGACCTTGTAACACCCTGCGCCCTGAGGTTCCCTGAAACCCTGAAACCCTAAACCCCTACCCTAAAACCCCTAAAGCCCCCAAAGCCCCTAAAACCCCTAAAAACCCTGACGCCCCCAAAACCCCTAAAAGCCCTTAAGCGGGGCTTATGAGGGTTTGTGGTCTAAGTTTAGGGTTTGTGGTTTAGAGGCCGCTTCCGTCCAGCGATAGGCCCTGAACGCTTGGCCAGAGGCGTGACGGCCTGAGCTAGGGTGTAGGGTTGAGGGTTGAGGGCTTAAGGGCTTTCAAGGGCCATGGGGCTTAGGGTTCAGGGAGGTGAGGCCAAAGCCTCACCGGTATTGTGGCCGAAGGCCTAATAGGATAGACCCTGAAGCCCTAGACCCCTAAAGCCGTGGATCCAAACCTCAAAACCCTGAGCCTAAAGCCAAAAACCCTAAACCCTAAAACCCTGAACCATAAAAACCCTCAACACTAGAGTCCTGAACCCTCCGCCTAGTTTAGGGTTTCTAGGACCCAAAGGCTAGCATTTCTCTAAGGGTAGTTTCACGGGACCTTAAACCCTAAACCCTAAACCCTAAACCCTAAACCCTAAACCCTAAACCCTAAACCCTAAACCCTAAACCTCTAAAAGGGTTCTGAAGTCTGGGCCCTCGGGTATAGAAGGGGTACGTAAGGAGTCCCCTTCCAGGGCCCATACTAAGGGACGATGCAACTACCCCAATATCCCTAAACCCTCAACCCTAAACCCTAAACCCTAAACCCTAAACCCTAAACCCTAAACCCTAAACCCCCTACATAACTACCCTTCGAATGTCGGCAGGCTCCCCCCGCCTGGCTGATGCAGACGATGGCGAGGCTGCCGCCATCGATGCAGCAGCGGGTGCAGGACCACCGCAAACCCCCTATAACTAACCCTAAACCCTAAACCCTAAACCCTAAACCCTAAACCCTAAACTACTGGTTGCTTACGACCGCCCCTCCCCCCCCCCCCAAAAAAAAAAAAAAAACAAGTAGAAACAATAATCCCAAGATACTTATAAGGAAGAATATTTGTTAATTTTGGGATGTTCTTAAGCAATTAGTAGATAAGCCCCAAACGTTCATAACAGTTACCCTAAGCCCTGAACCCTAAACTGTATAGTATAGACGTCACTGAGTGTTGGGAGTTTAGGGTTAAGGGCTGCTGACCTGCTTTTCAGCCAAAGCCTCAAGCCCAATTCCCAGCAGTCGAAGTCGGTGGAGCTGCCAGTGGCTTTAGAGTTTAGGGTTTAAGGTTTAAGGGTCTTAAGGGTCTGTAGGGTTTTGGGGCTCAGTATCCGAACCCTCAGAGTAAGCCCGGACCCGCAAACCTTACAAGAGCTCCTTAAGGGAGGGGGGTTTTCAGGGGGGGTACGTAACCTCGTGAACCCGCCTCCCTCAAGGACCCTATACTAGGCTCAGCAAAAGCCCGGCTCCGGTTGGCGTGCTGCATCCACACCGCCCAGGAGGCCCTCATGCGAGTCATGAAGGACCAGTTCCTGGGGTTTAGGGCTCCGGGGGCCTCTACAGGGTGTAGACTTTAGGGCTGTATGTCGGGTTTAGGGTTGAGTCAGGGTTGAGTACTGTTTAGATATCTGGTGTTTAGGTTTCGGGTTTGTGGTGCGGGCGTGTGAAGGATATGTTCCTGCCGGCCTTGGTGACCATCCCCGCCGTGTGGGTCGTGGCCTACGCGGCGCGGCAGAGAGGAGGGCCACAGGGATTTAACCCTAAACCCTAAACCCTAAACCCTAAACCCTAAACCCTAAAACCTAACCCTAAACCCTAAACCCTAAACCCCAAACCCCAAACCCTAAACCCTAAAAACCCTAAGCCTTAAGACCCAAGCCCTAAGCGCTAAACACCTAAGCCCCAAACCATGGCTGTTCTTGATATTATTCTACTGTTAGTATTATTATTATTACTATTATTATTATTACTAATATTATTTTTATTATTATTATTATTACTATTCTGCTGTTGTAGTTATTATTCTGCTATTATCAGTAAGCTACGCTGAATACCCGTTCCATGTAAATGGCCCCCTAACATTGGTCTCCAAGCCTTCCAAAACGGGTCCAGGGTGCAGGGTTTGGGGTTTAGGTTTAGGGTTAGGGTTTAGGGTTTTGGGTTTTGGGTTTAGGGTTTAGGGTTTAGGGTTTAGGTTTAGGGTTTAGGTTTAGGGATTAGGCTTTAGGATTTAGGGTTTAGGGTTTAGGGTTTAGGATGGAGGGCGCAGGGTTTAGGGTCTAGGGTTTGGGGTTTAGGGTTTCGGGTTTAGGGCTCAGGGTTACTTGGAGGCTCATGGGAAGTGAGTCGGAAAACTGTAGCCATGTGGACTAAAATCCCTGCTCAGAACCACTGCCCATGAACGCTCTGTTGCAACCCAAGCGTCAATCCTCAACCCTACACCCTAAACCCTAAACCCTAAACCCCAAACCCTAAACCCTAAACCCTAATCCTTCATCATGGCACGGCATGATGAAGCTGAGGTGCCACACTTCATCAAAGGGGGGCTCATCCTCTCCAAGACGGGGACCGCCTTTGATTCTGGAGGGTTTTAGGGCATTTTGGGGGTTTAGGGTGTCAGGTTTTGTGTTTAGGGCTTTAAGGGGCCTCATTTGGGGCATATTTTGGGGCGCAGGAGTTGCTACGTAAGTTTTGGGGTTCCAGCGTTTCAGGAGCTTCGTGGGCATCCCGGCTTAGCGTCCAAAGTCTAGGGCCTCCCGTGGCATCTTCTGTGTAGTGCATCCACCTTTTTTTTTTGGCAGCTGAGTCGGCGAGGCTCTTGCTACATTTTCCCCAAGATACCTTCCTCCTTTCCTAGGTCCTTGGCTACTGGGGAACCTAGGGTGTGATTTCCTTGAGTTCTGAACCTTGAACCCTAGGCCCGAATGGAATGGTTTAGGGTTTAGGGTTCTCTTACACTCCTGCAACATAGGAATTGGGAGATGTGGGTTTTTGTTCTTGTTTTACAACTGCTCTCGTAGAGTCGATTCTGCGAACCGTGATAAATAAGGTCTTTTCTGCTGTTTGTAGAACTCCTCAATTAGAGGCATGGTGGCGTTTAGGCTTTCGCGCAAGGAGCCCCTGGCACGTGTGCATCCCAAAGCACGCAGCCATGGAGGATTTCTGACCCTAAACCCTAAACCCTAAACCCTAAACCCTAAACCCTAAACCTCTGGAGTCCACGGAGGATTTCTGACTACAACAACCGGGAGCCGCGCACCACGGATCTGGAGCAGTTCGGCCCACGCAGGAAGTATGGGGGGGTTCTTAAGGGAGGGGTTTAGGGTTTAGGGTTTCGGGTTTAGGGTTTGGGGTTTGGGGTTTGGGGTTTGGGGTTTGGGGTTTGGGGATTAGGGTTTGGGGTTTAGGGTTTAGGGTTTAGGGTTTATAGAAGCTGGGCAGATCGTTGGTGGCACTCCTTCCCTTGAATGTTATACGCCAGAAAGCCCAATGCTCCTACGTCCTACGTATGGGGTTTAGGGTTTAGGGTTATGGGTTCAGGCTTCTACGTACGTTTTGGGTTACGGTATATTCCTACAACGAAAATTCTATTTTGATCCTCGTTTCATGTAACGTATGTCCTCCCTCCTGAACCTTGACCCTTAATGGTT